TCGAGACACACACACACACGCGTATTCCCAAAAAGTATACACAATCACACACAATACAGTAACATACACATATACTGTACATAGATACACACACACAAACACACAAACACATTATACTATGTTTTAAAACCAAACAGCACAGTTGGTTTCTGTTGTAATATGGTGGTTTCGATACATAAAATCGACAGAGGTATTATAACAGATTTCTGCTGTCGTCACTACTTCCAGCCATTTGCAACAGCCACACTCTCTATACAGACACCCGCTCAGAGGTAATAAAGTGCATCTCCAATCATGTTAACAACTAGCCTCAATCAATAGTAATAATATTGGATTGGTTAATGCACATTATCACGTCGGAAAGACCTTTCAAAGCTGTTCACGGGATTTATGTGAATGAAGTGACTGTGTATTTTGTTGCCTGGTCAGTGAGTCAGAGCTCGCTGACTGGCATGACAGCCAACGTGCCTCAGTGATTGAGATTTAATTTTCCCACTTAGAACTTTCCTGGTTTATTGATTGTGTCCTACCCAGTGCTGTGAATGGAGACCTTCACCTCACACCTGGCCCAGTGGCCCAGAAGTTATTTGCCCACAAAATACAGAGTCATACACTTTACAGTATATTCTGTGAAGTGCTTTGGGGCGTCTCGAAGACGCTATGTCAAATGCAAGGATTATTGTTACTATTCTCGCTGTGGAACAGCACATGACCCAGGAGCAGGGAAGTTATATTAAGAGAAAGGATTGGGTTTCAGGAGACGAGAGCCAGACATTACCTGATCTGAGTGTACGTCAGGTCATCTCTCGTGGCACTGCTCAGGAGGTCCTCCAGTGAATACCCGTGTGCCACAATCTGCAAACACAAGAGCAGTGTTAGTGCTCGCAGTGTGCATGTCGTTCACACCAAACACAAAAGGGAATAACTGCCACCTGAGTTATGGCAGTTATTCCCTTTTATAGGAGTGGCTCCAGGTGTAAGAATGGCTCCAGGTATAGATGTTGGGTCTTCCAAGTGAATGATACAGGAGTCGCTGCGCTGCTGGGGTGTTGAGATTTGGGTGTGGAGTGTGGAGATGTGTGTGAGTGTGTTTGTGAGTGGGTATTGTGAAGTACATGTGTGTGTGTAGAGGGGTATTATATTGTGTGTGGATGGGTGTGGGTGACGTGAAAGGTGCAATGGAATTGTATTTGTTGTTTGTGTATGTGTGTGTGTGTGGGCGAAGTTGCAGAGTCTCACCTTTTTGAACTCTGTAACTCGTGATTGTCACTTTTTAGGGACTATTTATAAAGTTAGTAATCAAAGTAAGACAGGCAGCTCTCAAGGTCATGTCGTGTGTTCGTGTGTATACGTGTGTGTGCATAAGGATCTGCTGATCTATCACACTCTACGAATGAGAAAGAAGCTGATACGGCTGTGCGAAGAATGCTAGTGTACATTCACGGCATGTTTGTTAAAAGGCAATAATTAATGTGATGCATTTACTGCAGTAAATTGGGCAACATGGATGAATGCTCCGGGGAGACCTGCTGGTGGTTTTCTTGGTCAGCCAGGTATCTAACACACGAACAAACCTATCACCATGCTTAAAGGTCTCTGAACTGAACCACACCCAGTCTAGACTGACTCTCGTGCAGTGTTGGGGGAGCCCTGCATTGGAAGCCGGAGGTACCGACTTTCGGATGAGGCTTTAAACTGAGGTTCCGTCTGCCTGTAGAGAAAGACATTAAAGATCCCACTCGCTATTTGAAAAAAAATCCTGTCTGACAAACCCCCGGATAAAATTGGTCACTCCCATGTGTTGGAGTATTAGGCACAGACTGGCAAGAGCCAAGGTTTAGAAACCACAGATTCTGCCAGCTTCCGAGGTGCAGACCCTGCGGAGTATCAGAGACAGTGCGGTACAGGAACAAACTGGTACAGGAACAAACAAATTAAGGACTTGAACACACGGCTAAAAGAGTGGTGCGGAAATCAGGGTTTCTTTTTATGGGCCATTGGCATGAATATTGGGGGACAAGAGAGCTCTTTCGGAGAAAAGGGCTGCATTTAAATCGTGCTGGGACAAACGTCCCAGCTAAACGAATTAACAGGGAAATAAATAGCAATTTAAACTAGTAAAGGGGGGAATATATCGGTAAGAGAAACCATAAATTAGCATTAGAAATAGTAAAGGTGACAATGCAGAATAGCATGCCAGATAGTAGGAATACGTTAACGAGGGCTAAGAAGCTTGGCAAAGCCGATAAGGAATCAGAGAGGAGAGGCGATGGTAGGAAATTAAACATGTTATATCTGAATGCACGAAGCATTCGGAATAAACTGATGAATTAAAAGCACAGATAGACACATATGGGTATGATCCAGTAGCCATCGCTGAAACATGGTTACAAGGAGATCGAGGGAGTTAAATATTCCAGAGTTCTCAGTTTACAGGAAAGATAGGCACTGTGGGAAAAGTGGTGGGGGTGGGGGAGCCCTGTTAATTAGGGATAAAATAAAAGCAGTGGAGAGGAAGGATCTGAAATCCGATGACCAGGAGGTTGAGACAATATGGGTGTGAAATAAAAATAATAAAGGCCGAAAATATTAATGGGAGTGGTTTATAGACCCCCAAACAGCGATCACAGTATAGCACAGGGTATCAATCAAGAAATCAGTGGAGTGTGTAGGAAAGGTAAACCGATAATGTGGGTGATTTCAATCTCCACATAGATTGGGAAAACCAAATTGGCAAATGTGGGTCAGAAGAAGAGTTCATTGAGTGTATGAGAGATAACTTTCTAGAGCAGCTGCCGAGGAACCAATGGGGACAGGCCATCCTAGACCTTGTTTTGTGTAACGAAACAGGGTGAGTCGGCAGTGAAGGTATTAAGAATCCTCGAGAGCAGAGTAATCACAATATGTTTGAATTCTGCATTAAGTTAGAGAGGGATATAGTTAAATCCGAGGCAAGTATTCTGAATTTAAATAGGACTAACTTTGTAGGTATGAGGAAAGATTTAGGTAAAGTAGACTGGAGAATAAGATTAAGAGGTAAAAATGTTGACCAACAGTGGCAAATGTTTAAGGATGCAGTGCATAATTCTCAGCGGTAGCATATTCCCTTGGGAATAAGAGTACCACAGGGAAAGCAATTCATCCGTGGCTAACTAGAGCAGTGAGGGAAAGCATCAAATTAAAAGAAAAGGCTTATAAAACTGCCAAGAAAAGCGGCAAATCTGAAGATTGGAAGAGTTTTAGAAACCAGCAAAAAAGAACTAAAAAACTCAATAAGAGCGAGAAAAAGGAGTATGAGGGTAAGCGAGCGAGGAACATTAAGTCAGATTGTAAAAGTTTTTACAAATATATGAAGAGGAATAGACTGTGAGGGTAAATGTAGACACTTCAGTCAGAGATGGGAGAAGTTGTAATGGGGGACACGGACATGGCAGAGTCCCTGAATGGGTACTTTGCATCTGTCTTCACCCGAGAAGACACAACCAGTCTGTCAACAATAGAGATGAGCCAAAGGGATGAGGACAGGGAGCAACTTAGGGAAATTTTCATTACTAGAGAATTGGTGCTCGGGAAACAGTTAGCACTAAAAACTGACAAATCCCCTGGTCCGGATGTTTTGCATCCCCGGGTTTTAAAAGAGGAGCTTATGAGATAGTAGAGGCCTCATGTCTGATCTTCCAAAATTCCTTGGATTCTGGAACAGTCCCCATGGATTGGAAGATCGCAAATGTAATAATAATAATAATCCTTGCATTTGATATAGCGCTTTTCACGTCGGGAGGACATCCCAAAGCGCTTCACAGAACACACTGTAAACTGAATTGACTGTATATTTGTGGGCGAACGCGGCAGCCAATGGCGCACAGCAATGTCCCACAAACAGTCGGAGATTGAAAATGACCAATTTATTATTGTTTGTGGTTTTGGAGGGATTATTATTAGGCTCTGTGTGGAGTAAGGAAACTTGCCCAAGGTTTCGCCCTCTGCCTGGAATTGAACTCAGGTCTCTCACTTGCAAAGCGAGTGCTCTAACCACTGAGCTACAGGACTCCACAAAAATGTAACAAAAATGTAAAAATTGTAACACCACTATTTAAAAAAGGTGCAAAGGAAAATATGGGGAACTATAGGCCACTTAGTCTCACATCAGTGATAGGAAAAATTTTAGAATCGTTGATTAAGGATGTGGTAGTGCGGTATTTAGGGCACAATATAATTAGGCCAAGTCAACATGGCTTTACAAAAGGGAAGTCATGTTTGACAAATCTCATAGAATTTTTTGAGGACATTTCCAGTAAACGACCCCTCAACCCCTCCACATATGCACCATTTTCAGATCGCGGTTGAAGACCTTCCTCTTTGAGCGTGCCTACGATTGCCTTCCGTTTCTCCCCCGCTTAACATCGGGCTCCGCCACTGACACGTTACCCCACAATGAAGGGCGCTGCGTCAACACAAGTTGTTGTTGTAGATAAACTTTAGACAAGACCAGGCTTTTTTGTGATGCTTTGAATCTTTATTACCAGGTTAGTGACATTGCAGTGAGGCAGAGAAAGGATATCTCATTACAAGCATTAGATGCAGATTGTGCCGATCGGCTCAGAGTTTACAGCGACTTGGAAAGAGAGACCGGAATCAAGCCGCCCGCACTGGACAGCACCTCATCCCGAGACACACAGGAGAGCAGAGGCTCCTCATGGCAGTCATGAGGGAATGAGAACGTGGGCGAGAGACTGGCTTCCCCACACATTCCAATGGAATTGGGAACCCCAAAATCTATCAGATTGTAGGGGGGGGGGATTTTCTCTGGTCATTTAAAGGGGATTTCTCCCAACTCTAAGTGGGGGCGTTGGTCTGTTCTTCCCAGGCTTAAGAATGGTCTTGTCTTGTTGTATCTCAACCAGCCTCATTGATGTTAGCAGAGCACCTTGTCCACAGATTGTTGCCTCTCACAGCCCCCGAAGGCCCGTGGCCTGAGCTCTGGTGCTGACGGACAGGAAGGTGATGGCTGAGAGCTTGTCCGGGTGGCGTTGGACTGGGGGATGTGTCAGAATCATCTCTTTACCGTGAGGACCATAAGCAGCAGAGCCAAGAATGGATCGATTCCTCCAGATGGATGGACAGATAGATGGCTGGATGGATGGATGCATGGACGGGCGGATGGGTGGGTGGATGATTTGACAGGTGGATGGGTGCATGAATGGTTGGATTGGTTGATGGGTGGACAGGCACAATTGATCCAGAGCTACAATCATATCCACACCTTTGATTCTTCACTCAGATCATTGGAGTGAATTCTCAAAGAGCCAAGAAGCAGAAACTATGATTAAATTGATCAGAGGCCGACCTTAGAAATCACAAAGGTTCTGCTCTGGGAAGGCAGCCTGAGCTGCAGTTGCTCCCTGAAAGACAAGAGGACATTAATTGGGTGTCAGCCTGACTATGCCACTCGCACACTCGCCTGTGTTAGTATAAGAACAGGTTAACAGAATAGATGGCTCATATGCCCCTGTGAGTGGGGCTCCTGACTAGAGACTGGAATGCAAGGTTATGAACATACTGATTGAGGAAGAACAGGGAGTACGGACAAGGAGCTGGATAAGGAGGTACACTCGTCTCAGCAGGGCACATAGGCAAGTGGAAAAGTACCATCACGAGGCATCACGGGTACACCAACGAGCTGGGTATAAATACAACAGACACACAAAGAAAAGTTGAGCTCCACAGAGTAAGAACTACAGGTTGCGGAGCCGAGTGCTGGTCATCAGGTACGACGGCTTATCCGGTAGTATATTCTGTTACATTGTTGAATAAACTGTCGTGATTGTACAACTCTGTGTTCAGACCTTTATTGGTTAATGGCGAGGATCCAATCGCGGTAAGAAAGAACCCAACACCTGTGAGGCACTGAGTTGTGGGTTTAGGCCCCACGTCAGGGGCTCTGTGCAAACTGTAAAGGTTCTCATCATTAAATCACAGCATGTTCCGATCCCACTGGAGTTTTCTATTCTAATCTCATTCCCCCTACTCCTTCCTCGTCGTATCGATGCTGGTGCTCACTCACCCACTGCACTAATCGGCTCGCATGCTCTTTCTCCCATCGTGTCTGCTTGTGCTCGCTCCCCCCTGGAGCTCTCTATTCTAATCCCATTCCCCTGCTCTACCCATCCTGTCTGTGCTGGTGCTCGCTCCAACACTAGAGATCTCTATTCTAACCCCATGCCCTGCTCTTTCCCTGTTCTTTGTTCTCTCTTCAAATACTATTCCTATCGGAAAACTCTCCAGAGAGTTGGAAACACAACTTTTAACACATGAAATATTCTGATTTTGATTCTTACCTTGGGATCCTAGTAAGCTGTGAAGAGAACGTGATATAAACATTAATGTCACTGACGAAATGTCCCTCCACAGTTCCCAACAAGAGGAATCGCTGGCGTCAGGAAGAGGTCGTTTTTAAGGGTGAGGATCGAGTGGTTTGGAAACATTAATGAGAATGTCTGATAGGAGCTGGACGATGATTCTCTACTGTGGTGTGTGCAAGGTGAGAGGCACGGGTGCCAGAGAGGAGACTTGTATAAAGTATAAACACCGGCACAGGCTGGTTAGTCAAATGACTTCTTCCATGTTGTACAGTCGATGTAAATCAGTGGCATAGTTCCTGAGCCAAGTGACTCCACAGTTCTCCAGGGCACTGTCTACCAAAGACCGGCTCGGCCCAGCTTATCAGCAGCATGTGTGGGACCAGGGATTCTTCCCACTGAGCTCTGGATAATTTTCACTATCAACGCTCTCGTTGGACGGGGCTCCAAGCTGAACAAAGAGGGGTAACGTTAGAGAGCTCGCAAGGTACGGTTAATGAAACTTACCACGACGCCACCACGGATCTGTCAGGAGGAAACGAATATAAACATTAACATGATTGACTAAACTTGACTCCAGATCTCAAAATATAGAAACATCTTCATCTCATGTCCTCTCTCCCCCACACCAGGCTCCTCAAACTTATCACCCCCATTTCCCCACCTTCAGCAGATCAAGTTCAAGAATTTCGTTCTTTCTCACTGTCAACCCGCCCCCCACATCCTCCCTCTGTGATCTCCTCAAGCCGTACCAGCACAGCCACTCCCTTTGTTCAATGAGTGAGCACCGGCCCTGCTCCATGTCTCCCATTCGGTCACGCTTACAGTCACTGCACTCTTAATGGATTTTCCCTGCCTCAATGCCTCCACGCCAGCCCCCACCCCCCCTTTATCTGTCTTGAATTCCCACCTTATGACCTGCCTTTTCAATGGCACCTATGATCACCCCCCTCTCCCTCGCCGAGCCCCTGCAGCTCTCCGAGACACCAGCCTGCCTGGGGCTCCAAGCTGAACAAAGAGGGGTCACGTTAGAGAGCTCGTAAGGTACGGTGAATGAAACTTACCACCACCCCACCACCGACCTGTCAGGAGGAAACAAATATAAACATTGACATGATTGACTAAACTTGACTCCAGATCTCAAAGTATAGAAACATCTTCATCTCATGTCCTCCCTCTCCTGCACCAGGCTCCCCAAGCCTATCACCCCCATTTCCCCATCTCCAGCAGATCGAGTTCAAGAATTTCATTCTTTCTCACTGTCAACCCGCCCCCCACCCCCGCCCCCACATCCTCCCTCTGTGATCTCCTCAAGCCGTAACCAGCACAGCCACTCCCTTTGTTCAATGAGTGAGCACCGGCCCTGCTCCATGTCTCCCATTCGGTCACGCTTACAGTCACTGCACTCTTAATGGATTTTCCCTGCCTCAATGCCTCCACGCCAGCCCCCACCCCCCCTTTATCTGTCTTGAATTCCCACCTTAAGACCTGCCTCTTCAATGGCACCTATGATCACCCCCTCTCCCTCGCCGAGCCCCTGCAGCTCTCCGAGACACCAGCCTGGGGCTCCAAACTGAACAAAGAGGGGTCACGTTAGAGAGCTCGCAAGGTACGGTGAATAAAACTTACCACCACCCCACCACGGACCTGTCAGGAGGAAACGAATATAAACATTAACATGATTGACTAAACTTGACTCCAGATCTCAAAATATAGAAACATCTTCATCTCATGTCCTCCCATTCCTGCACCAGGCTCCCAAAGCCGATCACCCCCATTTCCCCACCTCCAGGAGATCAAGTTCAAGAATTTCATTCTTTCTCACTGTCAACCCGCCCCCCAACCCCACCACCCACATCCTCCCTCTGTGATCTCCTCAAGCCGTACCAGCACAGCCACTCCCTTTGTTCAATGAGTGAGCACCGGCCCTGCTCCATGTCTCCCATTCGGTCACGCTTACAGTCACTGCACTCTTAATGGATTTTCCCTGCCTCAATGCCTCCACGCCAGCCCCCACCCCCCCTTTATCTGTCTTGAATTCCCACCTTAAGACCTGCCTCTTCAATGGCACCTATGATCACCCCCCTCTCCCTCGCCGAGCCCCTGCAGCTCTCCGAGACACCACCCTGGGTGAATGTGGCTGTTACTCTGTAAATGTAACCTGTATTGTGGTGTGTGTGAGGTGAGAGGTGCAGGAGAGGTTCAGAGCTTGTGTGAGGTTTCCCCGTATACAATCAGTGTGTGAGCCTTGTGCAGGTTGTGGGTCAGTCAGAACATCAGTGAGTGGATCAGAGGGAAGAACAGTCTTGTGATTTTGAATCCCTGTTGGAGATGCAATGTGCTCTTTACGAGTTGAAAAACATAGCTTTAACAAAATAAATATTTTTGTCTCTGCCTCTCGCTCTTTCTCTCTCTGCCCCCCATTCTCTGTCTTTCTCCCTCTCTGTCTCTCTCTCTCTCAGTCTCTTTGCGTTTCTCATTTTTGCTGTCTGTCTCCTCAATCTCTCTCTCTGTCGTTGTCTCTCTGTTTGTCTGTCTGTCTCTCTGTCTCTGTTTCACCTAACAGTGCCTCAAAGCTTTGATGGGTGGGTGTGGGGGTGGTGGAGCTCGCCAATCAACATCGTTGTGAAACAGTTTGTACGGTACGGTTTGGCGAACCAAAGCGATGACGGCATAGATACTGTATGTTTCATGACTTACGATAAGGCCAATCTGCGAAGAGAAGATGATATCATAGAATCATATAATTATACGGCACAGAGGAGGCCATTTGGCCCATCTTTGAAAAGAGTATCCACATCTTATAAACATATAAATGTTATTGTCATTGACTAAACGTCAATCCACATCTCACAACAAGAGGAATCGTCAGCATCACACAGTCCAGACAGCGGAGGGAACGGGCGGCCATGAGAAGAGATATTGTTAGGTTTAATCCTTACTGTTTTGGTATGGTGGGTAGTAATTTTGACCTGTGAGGAGATCAAATGAGGTTAAATGTTAACAGAGTTGAGCAAATAGCAGCTTCAACATGTCTCACAACAGGAAGAACTCAACTTGTTTCTGCAGCGCTCTCTCTCTCTCGCTCTATCTCTCTGTGTGTTCTCTCTCTGTCTCTCAATCCTCCGTGGGGGGAGATAAGCGGGATCTCCTTGGGGCTGAACTGGCTCAAAGGTGACATGCTTGGCAAAGGAATGTCGGAATCGAGCCCATTCTCTGTGGCAGTCTCAGGAGTGAGTTCCTGAGCCAGGCAGGTCCACAGTATTCCAGGGCATTGCTGCTGATGGGGGGAAATGACTGAAGGCTGTCAAACAGTTATGTTTTGGGATGGACCTTGAACGAGTTGAGGCATCGAGTCAGAGGTACTCCAAGATGGAGTTCCGCAGAGCGGCGGCAGGATGCCTCCAATGGTGCGGTGGTTAAGGCGGGTGGGGGGGAACGTGAAACAGACCGGTGCTCCCTGGGGGCCGGGCGTTGAGGGATTTGAAGCTGGGAACGAGGATCTTGACATCAATCATTGTTTTTTACGAGTGATGTAAGGGAAAGGGAAGCTCCCATTATTTCAAGGTTCGGTCAAAGAGGCAGCATGTGGAAGAGGGAAATAGAAGGGTGCAGGAAAGGGGCACGGTGGTGAGGGAGAGAGGAACAGAGGAATGTAGGAGAGGGAGATAAAGGGGTGGAGAAGAGTGGATTAAAGGTGTGAAATAGAGGGAGATTGAGTGGCGTTGAAGAGGGAGAAAGCAATGAAGGAGACGAGGACAGGGTGCCTGAGAAGAGGGATTAGGAGGAGCGGAGACGAGTGTGGAGTGTAAGAATCACTTAGCTCACCAGCATCCGCAGCCTAACCCGATCTCAGGACCTGAAGGGAAAGGGGTGGATTATAGCAGAAGAGGAGAGCGCCTTTACCTTGAACAGCTGACTCCATCGCCAGGAGCCCGACAAGAAGGAGGAGGATTAGGAACTTCATCTTCACAGTTAGTCGCAAGATGACTTTGTGTTCAGTGTGGCCAGTGACTGCTATTTATAGCAGAAAAAGACCCCGAGTTGATATTTATCAGCGGCTTTGGCTCCTCAAATCGTGACTGTACAGATTATTATCACATCAGCCCCTACATGCTTGAGCAGTGGGACATTCAGATAAAAAAGTCAGAATGAATGAAGTGGCCAATATTTTAATTTCTCAGGTCATTTGATGCTTGTCTTGGAGTGTACAGATCTGCTGGAGATTCCAGACTTCACTCAGTCCTCCTCTCTCTCACTCTCGTTGTCAGGGAGAGATCTGCCCACTGACTGGAGTCTCCTTCAGGAAAGGTGTTGTTTCTCTCCTGGTTAGCCTGACTTTTTTGATCAGATCAGTGTCACCATAGTTAAGAGTCTCTAAACCTGGAGCGATACACCCTATTTACCTAATTCGGTAGAGTATTATGCTCTCCACAGAGTATTATGCTCTCCACAGAGGGTTGGCTGGATTCTGACGTTCCCTTGTCAAATATTCCATTAGAAACCACTTTTGCTTCCCCACTGGCCCTCCCCACTTTCAAATCCTACCTGAAGACCTTGCTTTTTGATCAAGCTTATGGTCACCTCCCCACTCTCTCTCCCGCTAGCTCGTTGTCAGACTCCATCACTGTCAAGTGCTCTGGGACGCAACCCTGTGTGAAGGGCGCTATATAATTGCAAGTTGTTGTTGCTGTGTGTGGCCGCAAAGCCCAGTGCACAGAGCAGCGGCCAGCTTTGCCTCCAAAACAATGTCCGCTTCATTTCTAGTTCACCTCACTCAGTAAATCTCTCAGCAAGGTTTTTTGTAATGAGGGTCTCTGCATCAGTCTCAGTCAAGTTGTTCCCCTAACACTGACCTGATGGTCAAGGCCTCCCACGGTTTGCTTTAAGGGTTGGAAGCTTTGCTGAAAGGACCAGAGAACCATGGAAATTTACAGCACAGAAGACAGCCATTCAATCCATTGCGCCTGTGCCAGCTCCTTCAAGAGCAGTCCTTTCAGTCCCCTTTCCATGTACCTGCGCAGGTTATTTGTTCATAGTATTTATGTAGCCAATATGCATCGTGTCTCGACCAACACTCCCAGCAGGGCATTCCACATGCTGCCACAATGTGTGTGGAGCAACTCCTCCTAACCTCCCCATTTACTCACTGACTATGTCAAATTGATGCCCTCTCATCACTGACCAGCGGAAATCAGTTATCCTTACTGACTCTATCAAAACTCTCGCATCATTTTAAAGAACTCTCTCAGGTCAAACCTTGAGATTTTTTGTTCCAGTGGGAAAAAGTTCCAGTTCCTCCAGTCTCTTAAATAAGAAACATAAGAAATAGGAGCAGGAGTAGGCCATTTGGCCCCTTGAGCCTGCCCTGAAAGGTGCCTTTGTTATCTGTCATCTGTGCCTTTGCTACCTGTCCCTCTCTCTCTCACCCTTCTGTTACCTGCCCACTGGCTCCACCACTCCGATAAGAAATCAAAAGCACTCAGTGTACCTGAACTTGGCTGCGAGATCAACCAACAGATTTTGTTCTCACCAGATCCTGTCTGATTCAATCCTTTCACGGGTGTGTGCTGTGCCTAAGGCAACGTTGTACTTACACCATGTCCAGGTGGCGTCACATTACCCTCATGGGTTTGAGCCCTGGTGGACTTTGAGCTCCCAGTCTCCCTGTGCAGCATATCAACCCCCACCAACACTTCCCCCAACTGCTCCTCTTCCTCCCCCATTGCTTATTATGTGATGTCCTGTAGCTCAGCGCTTAAAGCACTTGCCTCGCAAGCGAGAGACCTGGGTTTGATTCCCGGCAGGGCAAGACATTGGGCAAGTTTCCTTACTCTACATGGCTCTGTTTACCAGCAATAAGTAGGAACCCGGTTGTCAGTTGATTGTCGGATGACTTTCCATGGGCAATAAATCCTTTAAAAAAAGTTGGTCACTTCAATCCAGGACTGTTTGTGGGACGCTGCTGTGCACAATTGGCTGCGTGTTTTGCATACAAAATAAACAGTCAATTCACTTTACAGTATATTCTGCGAAGCGCTTTGAGACATCTCAAAGATGTGACAAATGGGCATAGTTTTAGAATCAGAACTGGGAGGTCCAGAATGGACAATTTGAGAGTGTGCGAGTGCGGAAATCTCTGTCAAAGTCGGTTGTCGGTGCGGTAACCATGAGCACATTAAAAAACAGTCTGGGTGCATGTTTCAGGGAGAATAAGGCTGAGGGATACAGGGAAAGAGTCAGATCATGGGACCAGGAATTGGATCTAGGATGGGCACTCATATGAAGAATAAACACCGGCCGGTCTGGAGGACCTGTTTCTGAGCTGCACCTTTTAACAATCTATGAATCACTGAGAGCCTCACAATGCTCTGAGCATCACATGCCCAGTGCCTTATTGTCACCGAGATGACCAGTTTGGTGCCAGGCTCTGGGCAGGTGTACTCTGAACACCGGCACACACTAGAGAGAGAGCTTAAAATGTTTTAAATTCACTCTTGATTTGGAAGCTGGTTTCTTTTTCAGAAGTGAAGAAACATGGCTTTCAAATTAAAATTGAATTTAAGAATGTTTTCCTTAGTTCTTTGCCATTTTCAAGAGTCTGCGTCAACCCCTCACCAGGTGGTACCAGTGGTTCCTGACCAATTCATGTTCGGTTCTTACTTTGCAACAAAGTCTATCTTACACAGAAACCAACCCGCCCAAGATGAGAGGGAAGGGTGAGGGATTCCAGCTGCACTTCCATCAACTTACAAAAGGCGATGTAACAAATGTAAGGATTATTATTTATTATTATCTTCAGTCTTAAGACAAAGTGGTCTTAGAGGCTGAGACTAGGTGGGAATCTGGGTCCCTGATGGACTGGGCTGGAGGAGTACTGTGTATAAGGAGATACAGCAATACTGTCCCACAATGGCTCAGTTGGTGCAAAACAGTCACAAGATCACAAGATGGGTTTGGATGAAGAAGGCGCTTTGGCCCATGTGATCTCGTCCCTCCAGAATATGGTGGAACCATCGCTCAACGGGAAGGGATGTGTGCTCGAGCTAGGGACCAGAACACAGTGGCAATGCTCTCACACGTTTCATGCTGAGCTGTGTAGCCCACCGGGAAGCTCTGCAGGGAGTTCCTGGTACCTACTATGCACTTAGTGAGGTTCAAACCCACACTTGTCTGATGTTGAACGACCAACTAGTGACTATCCCCTTGGGGGTGGGGGAAGTAAGTGGGGTCTCCTTGGGGCTGAACTGGCTCCAAGGTGACATGTTTGGCGATGGAATGTCAGAATCCAGCCAGCCCTCTGTGGCAGCCCCTCTAGCGAGTGCAGTTCCTGAGCCAGGCGGTCCCGCAGTACTCCAGGGCACTGGTGACGACAGCATAGCTCATCGACAGGGCCTGAACTGCGTATTTTTGGATGAGTTGGAGCTTGTGGAGGGTGGAGCTCGGGAGGCTAGTGAGGAGAGTGTTGGACAGTCAGTCCTTGGGGTAACTTGGCCTGAGAGTCAGTCTATAATCATAGGCTTCCCACTCACTTGATGATGAGGCGTGTGTTTCCCTTTGGAACCCAGGTTGATGTTTAAAGTTTAAGCTGAACACATCTTACACCACATCCTACACCGCGACCCTCTAAACAACCGGAGGCTTTAAGTGTTGGATCCTTTGTTCACCAACTTCACGTAAACACGCACGCCCAGGAGACTGAGCCCAGATGCTTGTAACAACCACAAAACCCTGAGTTTATTCCAGAGATTGCTCTTCCCCAACACCAGGACTGAGCCATGGGGACAAACCATGACATGCTCCCAGAGCAATGGGTGGGTAGAAGGGAGTTCCAGCTAAAGCATCAATTCGCTCTGTTAAAGAACTGGGAATGTACCTGTTTGGGAACGTTAAGGGTATAGGAGAGGAGATTGATGTCTGTGGACAGGAGAAAGCTGTGGCTGTTTATTGGAGATGTTTGTTTGGAAGAATCTCCTAAACTTTGTTATTGATTAACTTTGTGTACAGGGAGTCTCTGCGTGGAAGCTGTCCCAGGAGTTAGTGTAGTGTGAGTGTGTGTTTGGGGGGTGAAATCCATGAAATTTGCCTGGTCTGTGGAAGAGTGGGCTTGATTGTGTTTTTTCTTTCTGAGCTTTCAGATCTTCCAAAGAAAATCCTTAACTGTACCTCGAGGTCTCTGTTCTGGTGATTGCTCCTCGGCAGAGAGCAGTGCTCCTGCTCTACAGCCAACAGCCTCTCGTCTCTCCTCTCTCCCCTTCCTAGTGACCCCTGCTGCAAAATGCATGTATATGCACCTTGGTGGGTGAGGGTCAAATAATAATCTGTGCATTTGATAGCTATATCACGTTGGTGTGATGTCTCACAGCACTTCACAAGATTTTACTCTGAAACGGAATGACTGTACGTGTAGGCAGACACACAGCAAACTTTTACACAACAATGCACGACAAACAGCCATGAAGGAATGAGCCAATTTTATCTGGGGGAATGTTGGCCAGCACAGCGCAGGGGACTGTAATTGGAGTTGAGAGACTGGCGCCATCTTAAGGCTCAATAGGCAGAATAGATTGTATAGTGAATTGACTGTATATTTTGTGGGTGACCCGTGGCAGCCAATTGCGCACAGAAGTGTCCCACAATCAGTTGTGGATTGAGTGACCAAATTATTATTATTTTAATTTTTTTTGAAGGGATTATCACCCCCGGAAAAGCGATCCACCAATCGACTACCAACTGGATTTATACTTACTGCTAGGGAAACAGAGCGATTGGAGTAAGGAAACTTGATCAAGGTTTCACTCTCCCTGGGAATCGAACCTGGATCCTTACACTTCGGAGGGGAGCGCTCTAACCACTATGCTACAGGACTCCATAGCTGTTTGCCCATGGCTGGGTCCCAAACTCAGAGATTGTCCACTAACACAATAAAAGGTAACATGGTTTGTGATCAAATATTTTCATATCCTGTATTATGTCACATATCATCCTGCAAATGAATGCAAACAATAAAATAGATTGCTACATGTTTCTCTCCAATGTTCAGCACACGGGAGAGAATTTTGACCTTGTCAGTTTCTTTGGTAAAACAGCGGCAAAATCCACTGAAACCTCGGAATGATTCTCTTGAAACTTAAAAGTATAAAGTGCCTGTCATCATTAGCAACACAGCGCAGCATTCAATCCTCGTCCAACGACGTGAACTATAGGAAAAAAAACAGGAGAGGTTGAGGGTGTGTGGACAATTGGGAAGCACAGCGTGTCTGGGGACGCTGCCCTGCCTGAGGGGCGTTATATAAGTGCAAGTTGTTATTGTTGTTGTATCTGGTACACAGCACTGAGCGAGGATGGGTCACCCACCCCAAAATTCTGCCACCTTTAAAGTTCTCATTCTCCGCGTGTGTACGTGTCAGCATCGAATCCACAGGCACTCCTCTGCTCTTCTGCCCTCAACGGAACAGCATCGCTTGGCACAAAGCAGATTGGAATGACTCCAGGGGTACGAGCGGCCCCAGGGGTAGGAGCAGCTCCAGATCTTTTGCCCTTTTGCCCACATATTGCCTGTGGGCACCGCCATCACATCCAGCTGCCGCTCTATGAGGCCTGTGTTGCCATGAAGAGTTTGTCCTGGATGCTGCCATCCAGAGATAGGGATCAGAACACTGCAGGTAACTCACTGCTCAGTGCCCACTTCGGTGAGCACTGATAGCTGCCCACAGCCTGAGAAGCATTCCACCTCTGCAACAGAGAAACAAGGGGATAATCTGACACACACCAACCACTAGACATACTTCTCACATGCAAACGTATGCACGCACACGCACACATACACATGCAAGCATCCATACTAAGTATCCAGACACACACACACACACGCGTATTCCCAAAAAGTATACACAATCACACACAATACAGTAACATACACATATACTGTACATAGATACACACACACAAACACACAAACACCTTGTAGTACATTATACTATGTTTTAAAACCAAACAGCACAGTTGGTTTCTGTTGTAATATGGTGGTTTCGATACATAAAATCGACAGAGTATTATAACAGATTTCTGCTGTCGTCACTACTTCCAGCCATTTGCAACAGCCACACTCTCTATACAGACACCCGCTCAGAGGTAATAAAGTGCATCTCCAATCATGTTAACAACTAGCCTCAATCAATAGTAATAATATTGGATTTGGTTACTGCACATTATCACGTCGGAAAGACCTTTCAAAGCTGTTCACGGGATTTATGTGAATGAAGTGACTGTGTATTTTGTTGCCTGGTCAGTGAGTCAGAGCTCGCTGACTGGCATGACAGCCAAACGTGCCTCAGTGATTGAGATTTAATTTTCCCACTTAGAACTTTCCTGGTTTATTGATTGTGTCCTACCCAGTGCTGTGAATGGAGACCTTCACCTCACACCTGGCCCAGTGGCCCAGAAGTTATTTGCCCACAAAATACAGAGTTAATACACTTTACAGTATATTCTGTGAAGTGCTTTGGGGCGTCTCGAAGACGCTATGTCAAATGCAAGGATTATTGTTACTATTCTCGCTGTGGGAACAGCACATGACCCAGGAGCAGGGAAGTTATCATTAAGAGAAAGGATTGGGTTTCAGGAGACGAGAGCCAGACATTACCTGATCTGAGTGTACGTCAGGTCATCTCTCGTGGCACTGCTCAGGAGGTCCTCCAGTGAATACCCGTGTGCCACAATCTGCAAACACAAGAGCAGTGTTAGTGCTCGCAGTGTGCATGTCGTTCACACCAAACACAAAAGGGAATAACTGCCACCTGAGTTATGGCAGTTATTCCCTTTTATAGGAGTGGCTCCAGGTGTAAGAGTGGCTCCAGGTATAGATGTTGGGTCTTCCAAGTGAATGATACAGGAGTCGCTGCGCTGCTGGGGTGTTGAGATTTGGGTGCGGAGTGTGGAGATGTGTGTGAGTGTGTTTGTGAGTGGGTATTGTGAAGTGCATGTGTGTGTGTGTGTGTAGAGGCGTATTATATTGTGTGTGGATGGGTGTGGGTGACGTGAAAGGTGCAATGGAATTGTAATTTGTTGTTGTGTATGTGTGTGTGTGTGGGCGAAGTTGCAGAGTCTCACCTTTTTGAACTCTGTAACTCGTGATTGTCACTTTTTAGGGACTATTTATAAAGTTAGTAAATCACAGTAAGACAGGCAGCTCTCAAGGTCATGTCGTGTGTACGTGTGTATACGTGTGTGTGTATAAGGATCTGCTGATCTATCACACTCTACGAATGAGAAAGAAGCTGAATACGGCTGTGCGAAGAATGCTAGTGTACATTCACGGCATGTTTGTTAAAAGGCAATAATTAATGTGATGCATTTACTGCAGTAAATTGGGCAACATGGATGAATGCTCCGGGGAGACCTGCTGGTGGTTTTCTTGGTCAGCCAGGTATCTAACACACGAACAAACCTATCACCATGCTTAAAGGTCTCTGAACTGAACCACACCCAGTCTAGACTGACTCTCGTGCAGTGCTTGTGGGAGCCCTGCATTGGAAGCCGGAGGTACCGACTTTCGGATGAGGCTTTAAACTGAGGTTCCGTCTGCCTGTTCAGAAAGACGTTAAAGATCCCACTCGCTATTTGAAGAAAAGAATCCTGTCTGACAAACCCCCGGATAAAATTGGTCACTCCCATGTGTTGGGAGTATTAGGCACAGGCTGGCAAGAGCCAAGGTTTAGAAACCACAGATTCTGCCAAGCTTCCAAGCTGCTTGTCCAGCTAGGACAACCTTGCTCATTAGGGATTAGTGGGAGCTTAGTGGAAAGAATTCCTGTCCCTCCAAGTCCTGCCGATGAGTCAGACTGGGCTGGTCTGTCATCAGCAGTGCCCTAGAATACTGCGGACCCGCCTGGCTCAGGAACCGAACTGGAGACCGCCACAGAGGGTGGACTTGATTCTATTGCCAAAAATGTCACGTTGAGTCATTTCAGCTCCAAGGCCTCACTTACCTCCCCATTCTCGCCAAAGAGGATAGTTCCTACTTCTTGCTTTCTCCATTTCTCTTTTAAATATTCCAATTAATTATGGCTCTAGAGCTTTCTGTGGTAGCACATTCTCCTCTAGATAAATTGGTGGTCTACCAACATGGCTGTTTCTGGGCTCAAATTGGCTTTGTTTTTGCCCACAAACACGCAACCCTACACTTGACAGCAATTACCTGTGAAACACAGAGATTTCATCATTCTAGACATTGTATGATATGCAAGACAAATGCTGGCAGTTCCTATTTCTCACCGTGCAGATAGCTTCTGTGTTGATGTTCTGCTGCTGTAGCCAGTGTGTGAGTTGCTGGGTGTCTGTGTCCAAGGGCAGTGTCTGTGAGCCGGGTGCGGAGGCCTCATCTAAGCAACAAACAGATGGTTATTTCCTCAATCCTCCTGCATCAATCACAGCAACCTTTAGTTTGGAGCAATTTGATTCAGGTACAGAAGATGTGACTTTACTCTAACCAACCAAAACTCTATCAACTTAACAACACAATTTACTAAATCTTAGTGGCTCAGTGATGTATACCTTTTCAAAGTGGGATGTGGGGGTGGGAGCTAAGGCGAGGAAGGGGTGGTCAGGATAGTCGGGTGGAGGGGTTCCCTCAGTCGCCCACTCAGCCACAGACTTTGCTACTGTGTGGTGTTGCAGTGAGCAGTGTTGTAGCGTGCTGTGTGCTGTAGCTCCAGCACTGGGACAGTGTTGTCAGCCTGAGGCCAGACCCAAACCATGCATTCCTCCACCTTTCATTTATTCCAAGTTCCCATCTGTTTCAGGTGGCTGCCTCGCTCACTTCAACACTTACCCATCACCCCTGCCCTCTTCCGAAGTAGATCAATGTCTTTCTGTTTCTGAGTGATGGCCTGGTGAAGCAGTCGCTGGCATTCTTGCTCCTTCTCTGCCAGTTCCTCCAGGAGCCTGGACACAAACGCTCGGGATGTTATAAGAAAGACTTTTTGAGCTCGCATAAAAATCCTGCCTCCCCATTCACCATACCAGACGCCGTTCCAGCAATTTGCGCAGAGCAATGTCCTACAAACAGCCATGAAGTGAGTGACCAACTTATGCGGAGGATTATCTGCCAGAACACCGGGAGAGATAAACTCCCTTCTCTTTTCAAACAGTGCAATGGGAATTGTTGGCCAGGACAATGGGAGTAATTCCCTTCTTGTTTCGAACAGTAATAGGATCTCTAACATCCACCTGAATAATTTCTATGATTCTATGACTCTTGCATGTTCCTCAATGCTGGGAGAGTGAAGCCAATGGCAGCTCTAGCCTGGCTGTGATCAGGACCTTAGCACAGATGAGACCCTGCGATGGCTCTCTGTATGACTCAGTTTGACACAAAGGGAATCTCTGTAACCATGAGTTTTGCTGCAATAAAACCTCTCGCTTTTAATCGGACTTTTTTTGCGCCTGAGGCTCGTACCGGCTCGACTCGATCTTGAGCCGGCTGAGCTGCACGAGGAGCGAGCAGGAACTGTGCTGGGAATCGTGTGAAAGCGAGTGACTGAGGGTGCCAACTCCAGATGTTCCTGCTCCATCATTGTAGCAATCCTGCTCTCTCATCTCACAGCAGTTCTTCCCCCAATCCTCTGGCATGCTCTCTGGCTCTGGCTCCTCAGTGTCTTGTTCGAAGGAAGATTGGAGCTGGAACTTCAGTTCTGACGGAAAAAATAAAACAGATGAAACGTGGAGCCCGTGACCTGCTGACCTGGCAGTGAGCGATCGTCAAGACTAATAATACATTAATTGCTCGTATTTGATGCCGCGGGTTATCACGTTGTTGAGACATTGCAAATTGCTTCACAGGATGTTATGGTGTAGGTAACAACTGTGGATTGCTTGGTAACAACAACAACAACAACAAGATTCCATTTATAAAGCGCCTTTCACGTCAGGAGGACGTCCCAAGGCGCTGCACAGTTGGGTCATGACCCGAGCATTGGGGGGGAATGGTCAGGGTGAGGGGAGGGAAGGGAGGGAGCGAGGAGGGGGGAAATGGTCAGGGTGAGGGGAGGGAGAGAGCGAGGAGGGGGGAAATGGTCAGGATGAGGGGAGGGAAGGGAGGGAGCGAGGAGGGGGAAGAGAGTCGAGAGGGGAGCTGAAGGCACGGTCAAAGAGAATCGCCGGTAAACGCGGCAACCAATTCATGCACAGCTAAGTCACACAAACAACCATGAAGTGAGTGACCAATTTTTTTTATAATTGTGGAGAATCGTTGGTCAGGGCAGAAACAACAGCAACAAATTACATTTGTTTAGTGCCTTTCATATCAGAAGGATGTGTGTGTGGGGGGAGAGGGGAAGGATGGGGGGTATATTTCGGAGGTGGGTGTCTCTGACCTGGGCGGGGTGATCTGTTTCCTGGTAAAAGAGGGGGAGAGTGGTTGTCTGTGGGTGGGAACTGGTTTAGGGGGAGGTGGGGGAGGAAGTCAGGGGGGAGAGGTTAGAGCTGGGAATAGGCTACTGCCTGTACCTGGGAGCAGCAGGGTGAAGGCTATCTGCATTGTCTTGCAGATGATGTTGTCCAGAGCAAACATCCAGTGTGGTTTAATCTGGTGATGTCTCAGTACTTTTTTGACCTGGAAAGGAAACAATTATTAACAATAGAAGGAGCTGAGCTATAGATAGAATCTATGCAATTCTATGTAGGGAGCTGAGCTCAGCATCCAAGGCTGCACTCTCCACCTCTCAAAGCCGGTCAGGAACCTCGGCGTTTTGTTCGACCCTGAGCTGTCCTTTCTCCCTCACATCCGCACCACAACTGGCACCGCCTTCCATCACCTCCGGAACATCGCCAGACTACGGCACTACCTCACCCCTCACGCTGCTGAAACCCTGGTCCACGCCTTTGTCACCTCAAGGCTGGACTATGGGAACTCTCTCCTCGCCGGCCTTCCCGCCACCTCCCTCCACACTGCAGGTCATTCAGAACTCTGCAGCTCGTGTACTGTCCCGCACCAGGCTTCGCGACCACATCACTCCCACCCTCGCTCCCCTCCACTGGCTCCCCATCCCTCAGAGGATCGATTTCAAGATCCTCATCCTCACCTACAAGGCCATTCACGGCCTCGCTCCCTCCTACCTCTCCAACCTACTATCCCCCTACCTACCTGCCCGTACCCTCCGTTCCTCCGGCTCCGCTCTGCTCCACGTCCCCCGCCCCAACCGCCCTACCATCGGTGGTCGGGCCTTCAGCCTTTCAGCCCCGAGGCTCTGGAACTCTATCCCCCAGTGCCTTCGCCGCCTCCTCCCTTTCCTCCTTCAAGGCCGGTCTCAAAACCTTTCTCTTTGACCGAGCCTTCAGCTCCCCTCTCGACTCTCTTCCCCCTTCTCGCTCCCTCCCATCCCTCCCCTCACCCTGACCATTTCCCCCCTCCTCGTTCCCTCCCCTTCCCTCACCCTGACCATTTCCCCCCTGCTCGGGTCATGACCCAACTGTGCAGCGCCTTGGGACGTCCTCCTGACGTGAAAGGCGCTTTATAAATGGAATCTTGTTGTTGTTGTTGTTGCTGCTGAGCTGTCTGTGCCACTGTTTACACTGCGCCACGCCAAGCCTCTGGTTGGTAATGGAGCCACCAGCTCGCCTCATCATCAGGAAGCGGAGAGGCCGGCCAGCCCCTGGGACAGGGATTCTTCCCACCTTGCTCCGGTAATCCTTCACACCAAACTCGAATGGGCAAGACAGCCATAGTGGGACAAGCAGTGGGAATCTTGTCAGACTCCATGGTTAATTTTAATTGCTTAAATGCCAACAATTACCCTGCTCCCACACACACAGTCTGTGCTCCCCATGCCTCTGCCAAGCCAAGATTAATAATCTCCAGGATTGGGTAAGCAGATCATCCTCCAGGAGAGTGCACATTCCATTCCCTGGGAAATTTTCATACCGATGTGGAACTCTTGTTGTTTCTTAAACACAGCGACGAGCTCCTGCATGCCTCTGGCACCCACAAGATCACAAGACCAGTTCGGATGAAGAAGGCCCTACGGCCCAAACAAACTCATCTCTCCAGAACACCCACCCTACACAGTGTTCCCCCATCACAGCATCAAGCTGCTTTTTAAATGAGTCCCAGTTTTCTGGCCTCAACCACTCTTCCTGGTAACCTTTTCCAGTCGATGATTCCCCTTTGCATAAAGAAACACTTCCTGGTGTCTATCCTGAAATTGCCGTTTACCACTCTAAACATACCTCCTCTTGTTCTGCTATCATGATAAATGCTAAAGTATTGATCTGGATTTAATTTTACAATCCCATTTAAAAAATTTTACACCTCTAGGAGGTCCTCTCTGAGTCATCTTCTCTCAAGACTGAAGGGGCCTAGCTTGTCCAGTTGTTGCTCACAGTTCATTCCTTCAACACTGGGGATCAATCTTGTTTGCTCTCCTCTGCAGAGCCTCCAGGGCTTAGGCTGCTCCCTTATGTCATGGTCACCAGAACTCTCTGCAGTATTCAAGGTGCAGCCTGACCAGAGCACTGTACAGCCTGAGTATGACTTCTGGGGATGTAAACTCAACAGATTTAATCCCTGGTTGACCAAAATAAATAGTTAGAAAACTAACTGATTATTACTTCCTTGGTTTCTCACCTGTCATTTCCTCCTCCCTGAACTTCCCATCCCTCTCTTAGAATCATAAAATATTACAGCACAGAAGGAGGACATTTGGCCCATTGTGCCTGTGCCAGCTCTTTGGAAGGGCTACCAACTACTGCCCTGCTCTTTCCCCATATCCTTGCAAACATTTCCTTTTGGAGCACCTATCTAATTCCTCCACCAATCCCCTCTCTCCCCCACCAATCCCCTCCCTCACCCCTCCCCCACCAATCCCTTCCCTCACCCCTCCCCCACCAATCCCCGCCCTCATCAATCCCCACCAATCCTCTCCCTCGCCTTCCCCCACCAATCCCCTCCCTCGCTCCCCTCCACCAATCCACTCCCTCGCTCGCCTACCCCACCAATTCCCTCCCTCGCCCTCCCCGCCAATCCCCTCCCTCGTCCTCCCCACCAATCCCCTCCCTCGTCCTCCCCACCAATCCCCTCGCTTGCTGCCCTCTCCCAGACACTCACCGCGTCCTGGAAGCTGAAGATGAGGATCTGCACCCCATTGAGAGCCGCTCTGTCAAACTGCAGTTCATCTTTGAGGCTGGCGAGGGCACTCTCCATCAGCTTGTTGTCCGGGGAGCGGATGTAGTCCTTCAGACAGACCACAAGCTGCCGCACGTGGTCACATGTTAGGTTGGTGGCTTCCGTGCTCTGGGTTCAGGGAGAGAGCGAGAAATCAGCCTCAGAGGTCATACGAAGCTTCAATCTTACTAAATATTTAAGAAATAATATCTCAAACTAATATCTGAGGAGCCAATATATCACACAGTTATACAGTAACAGTTTGGAACACGATATGTCAAACGACGGCCAGGATGGTGGAAGGCGAACTGGATGGACCTTAGCCTTCTTTCGCCAGCTGTTCTTAATTGCTCTCGAATGGCTCCTCTCCTTATACAGTTTGCCTACAACTCGGACTTTGTGTAAATCATACTCAATGTTATGGCTCGACTGATACGACTTATGTGAGTTTTGCAGGAAAATAACAACAATAATAATATTGGTGTAACATCGATAGCATGGAAATGTCTCCAAGAGCTTCAAATGCAACTGCTGTCAAGTGTAGTGACTGTATATGCGCAGGAGGAGAGAGCTGGGCACTGAGTGACACAGGCTGGTTGCCTAGGCTTTACTGCAAAGTTAATTTCCCCTCATTTTACCAAACCCTGAGAATGTGACCTCAACACAATAAGTAACAAATGAATGTGTTGCCAGGATAAGAATTTCTGGATTCCGTTCCCTGTCACTCAAAAGAATTTTAACTATTCACGTCTGCAAAAAATTCTCTGCAAATAAACAATCCTCGGTGTTTCAGCAGCTCCCTGCTTGTCCCTCGTCCCCTCCGCTCCACCATTGGCAGCCGTGCTTTCAGCCATGACACCCTGAAACTTTGGAACTCTCTCTCTCAATCCCTCCGCCTTGAACCCTCCTTCCCCATTTTCAGACCACACCTAAAGACCTTTCCCTTGGACCGTACCTACGGTCACCTCCTCCCTCCCTCCTGGTTCAGCATCCAGGCTCCGCCAATGTTCAGTGCTCTGAGGCATTGCCCAGTGTGAAGGGCGCTATGTAAATTCAAGTTGGATCCTTTTGAGCTTGGTGATGGGTTTCCACATGTGTCAGGCACCCACTGACTAAAAGAGCTCATCTTTTCAGACTTAGGGTGAGACCTGTGGCTATTTAATATGTATTCAGATGCCACCAGCTTCCACAACACCGTCTATCCAGCACTCCCAGGTCAGTTACAGCCTGTGTTGAGATACAACACAGATTGTAACTAGCGAAAGACAGAGAGAGAGAGAGAGAGAGGCAGAGTGAATTTGAAAGAGGTAAAGAGATTGTGAAAGAAGCAGAGAGAGAGTGTGTGTGGGAGCCAAAGTGAGTGTGTGAGAGGCAGTGAGAGAGAGTATGAGCGATGAGGGGCAGAGACAGAGAGTGTGAGAGGCACAGAGAGAGAGCCCTGAGACGTGAAGTAGGTTATTTAAAGTCAAGTTGTTGTTGTTGAGTCTCCACACACCAACTAATCATGTTACCTGAGCTTGAGCTTCTAGAATGTTCTGGACTATGATGTCGCTGTCCTCTGTGAGGATCCTGTAGAGCGTGTCTCGCCGTTCACTGTCTTTCTTTAACTGGAATAGGCAGGCGTTCTCCTCTGGGGAGCAGGGGCTGCTAGGATCCTCGCCCTCGGGAACACTGCAAGGGGCAATCCCGAATAAACATTCCTCAGTTTGCCCATAAACACAGTCACTATACTTGACCACAATTCCCTACGAAGCACTTGGAGATTTTTGGATGTTCTAAGCGCTGTGTCAAATGTGAGGATTTACATTGTTTTATCTGCACTCTTTCACTTCACCCCTTTAACCATCGCAGTGCCAAAATCCCAACCCACGTCCTCACTAAACCACAGCTCATCAGCTATTGCGCACTCCCAGTAAACAGTAGTCATTTCAATGGTGACAATTTACATTTGAAAAGCACCATTCACACAGAGTGAGGTCTCTGACCACCAAAGGAGATGGTGCTTTAAGCAGGTTAGAGAGGGGGGAGAGGGGAGAAAGGAGGTGAACATTGGCACAATCACAAGATCGGTTTGGATGAAGAAGTTTCTTTGGCCCAACTGATTTTATCCCTCCAGTTCCCCCATCCTACCATTCCCTATCACAGCATCAAGCTGAGCCTAAGGTCATGGCCCACATCCTTGGCAAACATGATCAAATTGAGTCCAATGTTTTGACCTCAACCATCCAACCTGGCAGCCTTTAACACGAACAAGCAAACATGACCAAAGATTAAAATCTCATCAAAGATCAGCTGGCATCTTTGACAATGTAGCTTTCTCCCAGTACTACACTAGAATGTCCACCTGGCCTGTAAGCTCAAGCCCTGACGTGTCACTGGAACCCACAGCCTCTTAACCCAGCTCCGCGCTGTAATTACCACAGAAACTCCTGTTTTGCTGAGCTGCATTTTGCAAATAGACCTTGACCTTGACCAGCGTTATTTCGGGAGAGGTGTCTCAGGTCCAACGAGGAGGCCAGAGGATCGCTGTCACTTGAGTCCTTAACTTGCTCAGGAGCTGGGACAGACAGACTGTGGAACAGCTCTCCTTGTGGGAAAGAAACATCATCAATTCCTTCGAAGCAATTACATAGAAAGGAAGCGAAGCAGCCCTCAACAATAACACTGTGAGTTTATCAACCACATCTTGCAGTAGGCACTCTTCCCACTCGGCTCCTGTTAATTCTGTAAGCCAAAGTCCCAACAGGTAGGGTGGTCCTCACTGCACAAGCAGCGAGAAAGCTTGCCAGACAGTTCTCTGAATATGCATGTTTAGCTGGTTAAATCCACCATTTACCCCAAAGTACACTCTGACGTAATCAAGCATTAGCTCTCGACAACCTGTGCTAAATACTCAAAAGTTTATCAAGGTAGGTAAGCAGGATACATCTATCCAGGGAAAGAGTGCAAATTCCATTCTACACCCAGGGAAATGTCCACGTGTTAGTTGGCATACCTATGTGGAAGTCTCAGTCCGATTCGGCTAATCTAAAGCATGGTGATGGGTCTGATGATCCAGACTGAGAGTTCCATGTATGCCATCTGCACATAGAAATTCTGTGATATCTGGAATAGAAGACCCAATTTCTCCCCTGAGAGACACACCCTGTTTACCTAATTCCAGAGAGTATTAGGTGCAGTTTGGAAAGGGTCAAAGCTCACGGACCCAATGTGAAAGGTTCTATATCAATATAAATATAAATGTATTGTTGTTGTGAACCTTAGAGTGTGCGTTGGGGGTGACCACTGGAGTTTAATCAGCTTGCCATTGAGAGCTTTTCCACTGCTTGTCAAGCTAGGACCACCCTACCCCTTAGTGCTTTGGCTTACAGGGTTAACGGGAGCTGAGTGGGAAGAGTCCCTACCCCGAGTAACCACCTAAGTCGAGCAATGACTAGAGACAGCCATAAAAGGTAGACTTGATGTAGGAGTTGAGGTCAACAATGTTCTCACGATGGAGAAAGGTAGTGACAATCACTGCCTGCAGGTGGCTGTGACACTCCCCACGCCGGACACAGCTTGACATTGCACCACATCCCTGATTTCTGGGCTGAACATTGAACACGAGAAACAAACAAACTCCAGACCCGAGGCTGGGAAGAAATTGTCGAATCACAACATCCTCCTCACCTGCTTTCACCTTCCAATCATCCCTCATTCTACCCTCCTTCCTTGGTTCTTTCGCTCCCCTTCCTCTTTCTTCTTCCCTTCCTTCACTCCCACTCTCTCACCCCCGCTCTCTTTCCCCTTCCCTCCCTCTCGCTCTCTCCCCTCCCTCTCGCTCTCTCCCCTCCTTCTCTCTCTCCCCCTCCCTCTTTCCCCCCCTCCCTCTCTCTCCCCCCCTCCCTCTCTCTCCCCCACTCCCTCTCTCTCCCCCACTCCCTCTTGCTTTCCCCTCCCCCTCTCTCCCTTCTCTCTCCCCTCCCTCCTCCCACTCTCTCTCCCGTCCTCTCTCTCCCCCGCCCCTCTCCATCCCGCCACCTCAGTGCTGTGCTGTACCTGGTTTGGGGCTGTATCTCCCTTTCCTGCGACTGGCAGGGCTGAGGAAGGTGTCTCGGAGCAGCCCCCCCGCTGTGGCCCGCTTGTCGGGGTCGGGCTCGAAGGCGCGCAGGAGGAAAGCTTTGGCCTCGGGGGACATACAGTCCGGGATGTCGGGATGGATCTTAAACATACCAACCTGGAGCAGGGACAGCAGGGAATCAACACAGCAACACACACACACACACACACACACCTCACTCAATCCCGCAGCAACTTGACCTGTCAAACCAACGGCAAAGTACATTTCGACTGTTACCCTGTCAGGAAGCAACAAGTGACTGTCAAGGTATCAGGGGTGGCAGCCAGGCTCAGCGTCTCAGTTACACAGAACACTATCAGACGCAACAACTACTACTATGTATAACTATTGTACACCACTGTCATGATTACATCCCACTATCAATCACTGTCTTACACGGATGTCCCCGTTTTACCCTTTTATCAGTGTCAGCCTGGCCCCAGTGGTAATTTTCTCAAATCCCACGTCGGGACTTGAGCTCACGTAGACTAAGCTGACACTGTAGTGCAGTGCTGGGGGGGGTTGTTGGAGGTGCTGTACTTTGGATGAGGCGTTAAACCTGTTCAGATGGATGTTAAAGATCCCGCGGCGCGATTCCAAAAGAGAAGCGAGTTTCTCTCTCCCGGTGTCTTGGCCAACTGTGGGACATTGCTGTGCGCAATTGTGTTGCCGCGTTTGCCTCCAAATACACAGTCACTTCATTTCAAGGCGTATCTCGTGAAGCGCTTTGGGACGCCCTTCTGTTGTGATAAGGCGCTGCGCCAAATGCAAAGGTGAATAATCCTTACATGTGACACTGCATCTTCCAAAGTACGACACAGCATTCAGCGTGAAATGTAGTGACTGTATTTGGTGGGTACTCGCCTCTGTTTGCTGTTACATTCCTGGTCGAACTGTGCTGTGCTGAGGGGCTCAGTTGAGGGCTGTGTGAATCCCCAGTTATTGACCCCTGTGAATTAACCCTTACACACCCGCTGTCCTGAGTCCGCAGCGAGCTGTGTTATGACAACAACAACTTCCGCCTGTCCAGGTCTCTCCACGTGGCCTGGTGTCTCGGAGAGTTTAAAGGTGCGTTACCTTGAACATGGCGGCCTGCGGCTCCCCCAGCTCATAGAACGGGGGCTTCCCTGTAGCCATTTCGATCACTGTGCAGCCCAGAGACCAGATATCAGCTGGCTTCCCATAGCCCCGCGGCCCCTTGTCAATGATCTCAGGTGCCATATACTGCAGAGTCCCTGAGAGTGAACACATGGGGTCAGTGTACACACACACACACACACACACACACAGGGTCAGTGTATACACACACACACACACACACACATGCATATGAGGTCACTGCGCACACAAGGTTTTCAATTTCATTCACAACAGTAAAAACAAGCAATGGACCATCTCTCCCCACACTGCGTCTCTGTCTCTCCCCACACTGTGTAAGCCAGTCGTGCTGTTCTCTCTGATTGGCACAAGTGAAATGGTTGTGAACTGGGGGAGGTGGAATGGGATGGTGAGGAACATTTGTTACACTGGACAACTGACCTCCATCCCCCACCATTAACACACACACACACACACACACACACAGGCACATTACATACACAGGCACACATACATACAAAGACGCGCACATACACACACAGCTCACACACACAGACATACTCACATAGACGCACACACACACTCGCACGCACACACACAGACGCGACACACACACAGACGCGCGCGCACACACACAGACGCGCGCACACACACAGACGCGCGCACACATGAACACACACCTGTGAAGGTCTCTGTACAGGGGTTGATCCCGGCCAGTCGCTTTGAGGTCCCAAAGTCAGAGATTTTCAGCACGCCACTGTACGTATTAATCAGCACATTGTCTCCCTGCAAACAGCACACGGCAATCACAACCAGCTCCCCACACATCCCCTTCCACCCCACCGCGCCGCTCCCCCTCCCCAGGACTTCTTTCTCGCACTCTCCCCCCCCACCCCCGTCCCACACACACTTGGACTCTCTCCCTTAAAAACAACTGTTTGCACTCTTATAGTACCCTTTACACAGGGCAGAATCTGGAAGTGCTTCCCACCCCCCTATCTCTCCCTGTACTCTCTCTTGCGCTCTCCCTTTCCCTGTACTCTCTCTCTCCCCCTGTACTCGCTCTCTCTGCCCCTGTACTTGCTCTCTCTCTCTCCTTCACCCCCTCTCTATTTCCCCCCTTGCGCTCTCGCATGTGTACCTTGATGTCTCGGTGAACGATCTGGTTGTCATGCAGATATTTCAGACCCTCCAGAATCTGCTTGGTGTAGAAGATGATGGTGGCTTCGTTGTCCTTCAGCGGCCCCCACTTCGAGCGCAGCAACGCTGAGAGGCTGCCTGGTGCCAGAGACACTCACATTAACACCGAGATACTAGTGACAGACACACTCATATAGCACCGAGATACCAGTGACAGACACACTCACAGTAACATTGGGAGCGCTTGTAACAGACACACTTGCATCAACCACCAAGCGCTCCGAGGAACGACTGCACGTGTTATGTGCTATATATAAATTCAAGTTGTTATTGAGACGCTACGAGTGAGAGACGATTGCATTTGACACAGACGTACTGGTCACAGAGACGCATATTAACACCAAGAGTTACCAGTGACAGTCACATTAACACTGAGAGAATATTTTACAATAATTACTCTTCAGTGTAGTGACTGTGTACTCACAGGTGGACGGAGCAACTGATCTGTGCACCAGAACATCCAATAAACAGGCATGAAGCGAACGACCAATTTTATTTGGGGGAATGTTGGCCAGGACACTGTGAGACACTCCCTCTCTGTTTTATTTCGAAAAGTAGCTTGGGATCTTTAACGTTTATCTAACCAGGCAGATGGGACATTGGTTCAACATCTAATCCTACAGACGGCACCTCTGATAAAAGCCAAGACTTAGACTCCACCCCAGATTGTGCAATGGGGTAACTGCTGGAGTTTAACCAGCTGAAACCAAACTGTTTACCATTGAGAGCAGTGACCAGCAAGCTTCCCACTGCTTATGCAGCTAGGCTCACCCAACCTATTTGGCCCATTGAGTCTGCACTGGCTCTCAAAGCAAGGTTCATTCAATCCCACTGCCCTGCCCTATCCCCAGACCCCTTCAAGCCTCTCTCCTTCACATATCCTGCAGCTCAGTGGTTAGAGCACTCGCTTCGCAAGCGAGTTACCTCTGATTGGCACAAGTGAAATGGATGGAAATGGCCCGCAGGGTTGGAACACAAAATCTTGGGCAAGTTTCTTCACTCCACACACCTGATAATAATCCCTCAAGAGAAAAAAATAATTTGGTCACTCAAACCACAAATGTTTGTGGGACGCTGCTGTGCGCAATTAGCTGTCGCGTTTCGTCCACAAATATACAGTCAATTCACTTTACAGTATATTCTGTGAAGTGCTTTGAGATGTCTAGAAGACGTGATAAGGCGCTGTATCAAATTCAAGGATTATTATTATTTTATTTAATTATATCCTTGTGCAATTCCCACTTGAAACCCACAATGAACTCTGCCTCTCCCACCTTATTTGGCCCAACACCTCTCTCCAAAAAGAATATGGAACTTTATTTAGGCCGCAGTATGATTATTAACTACAGTTTGGGGCATTTCATTATATAAGGTTCATCAGCTTAATCTTCAACAACTGAGCAGGTTAAAGATTAACCTGATAGAGGCCTTCAACAGATAGAGGAAACACAGAGATTACTCCCGACACAGTAACTCTGCGAGACTGTCATATCGATCGAGTAAAGAGCAATAGATTATAATAGATAATATAATACAATAGATTTCCACTGGTCGAAGGCACACATTTAAGGTAATCGGGAAGAGGATTAACGGAGAGGTTTGAAAATATTTCTGTATGCCGGGAATGTGGAATCCACTGTCACAACCTGAATTTAGCAAAGCGGATAGATGATTAAAAAAAAATTAGATTGGCGCCTGATAAAAAAGAATTTTAAAGGGCGCAGAGGAGGGGGAGGGAGGGATTAGTGGGTGATTCATATGGAGGAAAACACCAGCACAGACTTGCTGGGACGTTTCTTTGGTCCTTGAAGTAGCTGGCGCATTTAACTACAAAAAATAGTCACTACACTTGGCGTTATTTGCTTATGAAGTGTTTCGAGATGTTTCGAGGCGATGAGGTGCTATCGAAATGCAAGCACTTTCTTTCTTCCCGTCCAACTCCAGAATAACGGTAAAATTCCCAGGAATACAAGGATACTCCAGTCCCAGGACTCCAGAATCGAACGGGAGCGAGTTCTAAGGTCTCTGAGACGCTACCTGCCGTGAGGGGTACTGTATAAATGCAAGTTGTTGTTGTTTTACCTCCTGGGACCTCTTCCATGAAGATCTTGATGAATCCATCCTGACTCACGGAGCCCAGGTACTGTACAATGTTGCGATGCTTCAGTCGCTTGTGGAGAGCGATCTCCTCGTGCAGAGGTTGTGAGTATCTGTCAGAGCAAGGTCACTGTGAGTGAGGGAGCGAGGGAGGGAGTGAGTGAGTGAGGGATGATGAGTGAGGAAGGGAGTGAGTGAGGGAGCAATCGAGCGAATGATTGGAATGATTCAAAGGTAATGAAGAAGAAATGAGTGTGTGAGAGAGTGAGTGACTGAGTGAGAGAGGGAAGGAATGAGTGAGAGAGGGAGTCAGAGAGTGAAAGAACTAGTGAAGGAGGCAACCAGTCTCGGAGAAAAATAGGAGCAGCATCTAGGACAGAGAGTCTTAGCAAGTGGTGTCTCGCTGTGGAGCTGGCCTGAGCTGCAGTTAGAGAGGAGAGTTCCCAGTATTTCCAGGGTATTGCCAAAGTTGGATGGGAATGTCGCAGTATTCTGGATGTGATGGCGGGGGCAGAGCACAGGTTACCTGTTGTCTCTCTCTGGGATCTCCTTGATGGCGATGCGGACCTGGTTACTGAGGTGCCGCCCGGCAAACACCACCCCGTACGTTCCCTTCCCCAGTACCAGCCGATCTCCCTTCTCTGTGTATTCGTAATTGTACTGCATTCAGCACAAACACAACATCAGGCTAAATACACATTGCCTGGTCATCAACCCACCACCACTTGCCCTTCACCCCTCCAGCCTGCAGCTCGAGTGCAAACCCTTGACTGTCCTCCGCCTTCAGATGTCCTCCCGACGTGAAAGGCGCTGTATAAAAGCATATTTGTTGTTGCTGGCCCACGCAGGCAGATCTCCCGCGTGGCCAGGTGATGCCAGCGATGCTCACGGGGATGTCGGTGATGTAAGATTAAGTAACAAAGGAAATGTTTCTGCACTGCCTGTATTTCACCCACCTCCAACGGTTCCTCAGTCAACTGCGGGTCATCATCTCTGCTCCTCCCACTCTCTGTGAAAGAGTTTAGCAACTCACAGAACCTGAGGGAGAAACACACAGACCCTGAGAGAAATATACACACACACACACACTCACAGACCCTGAGAGAGAGATACACATACACACACACAGACCCTGAGAGTGAGATATACACACACACAGACCCTGAGAGACACACACACACCCTGAGAGAGAGACACACACACGCACTCACAGACCCTGAGAGTGAGATACACACACACACATACAGACCCTAGGAGAGATACACACACCCTGAGAGAGATCCACACAGACCCTGAGTGAAAGAGAGAGCGAGAATAACACTGAGACCCACAGAGTTGGAGATGCTGCACAGTGACACAGATATTGACAGAACCCTATGACAGGCTTGTGCGGTTACATTAGCGACTGTTCTCATTCATACACAGAGGATGTTAAAATGCGGAAGACATCACAATTAGCATGCTGTGTAATTCACTAAACCTCGAACCAGCTCCTTTTGTAACAATATTATAATTGCATTTGATATCGTGCCTTATCACGTCATTGAGACGTCTCAAAGCTCTTCACAGGATACACTGTAAAGTGAAGTGACTGTGTATTTTGTGGGCGAAACGGCACGTTTAAACAGCAACAACAGAAGTGGGCAACAGGGGGCGATTGATTCCCACTCACACCATGGAGCAGCCTCAGGAGACTGAGTGCAAGAATACACTGCTGTTTGAGACATTGCTGGTGTTGCAATAGCATGAGATCATCTTGTCAGCAACTGCTCGGCTTCTCGCTCGCAAACCTTCTCAAAAAATGTTTTCTTTGCCAGAAAACAGGAAGCACATATCCCAAGATTCGGATTTCTGTGAGCGAGAGAGCGAGCGAGTGAGCGAGCTAAATATAAACTCAGTGAGGAGCGAGACACATTGTGCCTCTTGTCAGAGTTTTAATCACCCGCATTCGTCTTTCTCAACCTACAATCAGCCACAATCACCGCACACAAACCCAGAACTTCCTCTTTATTCTCCTCCCCTCCTCGTGTCTATTTCTTTCGACTTGACAATTTTCCTGGTGTCCTGGCCAACAATCTCCAGATTTAAAAAAAAAGATCTGTTGTTTCCAAGGTTGATTGTGGGATATTGCTGTGTGTATATTAGCTTTTTTATATTAGCTTTTATTAGCCGCGTGTGTGACACATGCAGAAATCCATCACCATGCTTTAGAGTATCCAAACTAGAGTCCCATGAATGCTACCACTTGGAAACCCCCACTTTCACCATGCCTCGCCCCCCCCCCCACCACCGCCCTCACCACCCCCGGGAACCCAGGATTCATGCCAGAGACACTCACCGCTTGCAGCACACATCCGTTGGGAAGTACAGCTGAAAATCATCCGAGTTGTGTAACACGTACAGGAAACAGCATCGCTCGTCGAACTTTGAGACACTGGGAACAACACAACAAACGTTCCTCACTGAGGGACCTCGTCACTAACCGCGTCTCCCACGCCCTGAGCCGGGCGGCCAGTAACTCACAGAGACAGCCAGCCCTGAGCTCGAGACCAGAGATGGCACTACGTTTACGTGGAACACGGTAAAGATTTCCTGTTACAGTAACACACACAGGAACATCGCACAAAGCTGTGCCTCCCTCGCCTTTGCCCTTTACCAGCTGAATGAGGCATCACAAGACATTCACAGAAAAAAAACAAGGTCTGCCTTGTGTGGTCCTGTAGCTCAGTGGTTAGAGCGCTCGCCTCGCAAGCGAGAGGATCTGGGCTTGATTCTCGGGCAGGGCGAAACTTTAGACAAGTTTCCTTACTCCACATGCTTCTGTTTACCAGCAGTAAGTAGGAACCAGTTGTTAGTCGATTGCCGAATCGCTTTTCTGGGGGTAAAAAACTCTTCAAAAAATAATAATAGCAATTTGGTCACTCAATCCATGACTGTTTGTGGGACGCTGCTGTGTGCAATTGGCTGCCGCCTTTCGCCCACTAAATATACAGTCAATTCACTTTGCAGTGTATTCTGTGAAGCACTTTGAGATGTCGCGAAGATATGATAAGGCGCTATATCAAATGCAAGAATTATTATTATTATTATTTGGCACATTGTGTCTATGCTGGTGCTCTAATCCCATTCCCTCTCTTGCCCGCATAGTGTCTGTGCTACAGTAAAACTCACATAAGTCATATCAGTCGGGACCATGACATTTAATATGACTTGCTTGAAGTATGAGATACAGACAAAATTGCATAAATCGCAATAACATCCAATTTATTCAATGATATACACTGCATATCCGTACTTCAATTCAGCCAGTAAGTGTGGTAGAGGTGTTACAAGCTAGGAGATGATTTGGTTTATAAAATATGACTAGTGCAAAGTAATCTGAGTGTTTTTTAGTAGGAAACTAAATAGGAATAGCGCATGTTCAATTCGATTATGCGATTTATAAAGGTAAGACTTATACAAGTTTTACTGCAGTGCATTGAAACTCTCTACCGATTAATTCCACATTTCTGCTATTTTCTTTTCCCCTTTGATATTATATCAGCACCAGTATTTATCTGTCCATTACTTCAGGGACAAAGCAGTAAAAGCCCTGGTTTAGGCGGTACAGCTTTACTGTCATCACCTTATCCGATGATGTTGTTAAACAATATAACTAAGGAGACAAAAGGAGGGGTGTCTGACCGGGAAAGTAATAATAATCCTTGTATTTGATACAGTGCTTTATCGCGTCTTCGAGACATCTCAAGTCACTTCACAAAGTATATCGTAAAGTGAATTGACTGTATATTTATTTTGTGGGCAAAACACGGCAGCCAATTGCGCACAGCAGCATCCCACAAACTCTCACCTAAAGGTGTTGTCAACTGGGACAACCTGCCATCTTCCCTTCTCTTTAGTTTTTCATTAGAAAAACTTCCCTTCAATCGGGACACAATTAGAGTCTGTGTGGAGCAGCTATCGGGCAGGATATAAGAACTTAAGAATTTCCTGGCGAAAGAAGACCAAGGTCCATCTAGTTCGCCTTTCACCATCCCGGCAGTCGCTTGACATGTCGTGTCCCAAACTATATACTGTATTCCGAGATATTATTTTCTAGCAGAAATCTATCTAATTTGTTCTTGAAACAAATGACATTTACTGCTTCCACCGTCTGTCTCCTTGGGGAGCCTGTTCCATAAGTTTACTACTCGCTCATTGAAGTAGTGTTTCTGCAGATTTGTTCTGAATTTACCCCCTTCAATTGCAGGCCGTGTGCTCTGGTTCTACTGTTCAGTACAAGATAAAACAGCTTAAAACAGACCATCGAATACCACCTGTTGTGGCTGGAGTTGGAATACAGGAAGGAGGAGCTGTTCCCATTCTCATTTCCTTCCGTTCTTATTGAAATAATAATTCACTGCCCACAAGCCCAGAGGCTGCTCACCTGACACCGCGGATACTCTCTGCATTGAAGGACCAAGTGTGGATTCCCTTCTGTCAACAAAATATCAGCGTTAGGGCCGAGCCAGACAACAACAACAACACAACAAGATTCCATTTATAAAGCGCCTTTCACGTCAGGAGGACGTCCCAAGGCGCTGCACAGTTGGGTCATGACCCGAGCAGGGGGGAAATGGTCAGGGTGAGGGGAGGGAAGGGAGGGAGCGAGGAGGGGGGAAATGGTCAGGGTGAGGGGAGGGAAGGTAGGGAGCAAGGAGGGGGGAAATGGTGAGGGGAGGGGAGGGAAGGGAGGGAGCGAGGAGGGGGAAGAGAGTCGAGAGGGGAGCTGAAGGCTCGGTCAAAGAGAAAGGTTTTGAGACCGGCCTTGAAGGAGGAAAGGGAGGAAGCGGCGAAGGCACTGGGGGATGGAGTTCCAGAGCCTCGGGGCTGAGAGGCTGAAGGCCCGACCACCGATGGTAGGGCGGTTGGGGCGGGGGACGTGGAGCAGACCGGAGCCAGAGGAACGGAGGGCACGGGCAGGTAGGTAGGGGGATAGTAGGTTGGAGAGGTAGGAGGGAGCGAGGCCGTGAATGGCCTTGTAGGTGACAGAGCAGACAGAGCACGTCAGTCAGGCACAAACACAGTTTATCAATCAGCTGCAAGAGATAATATCAATTAATTGAGCAATTTCTGTCTAAATCTAAATCTAAATCAGAAAACTGGGACCTTCTTGTAGTGGTTAATGGTTAAAGTTATTGTTCACTGTTCAGAGGCAACGTCTGTGTGGGTGTGTGATTCACCACTCCCCTTGTAACATGAGCCGCTCTGTTGGCTGAGTGGGGAGTTGAGGAGCAGAGATAGGGAGGAGATGAGGAGTAGACATAAGTCACCATGTCCACAAAATCAAGCTCTCGGCCACATCCTTTTCCTCCACGTTGCTGAGACACGTCACTGCCAGAACCAATATTCACTCTCACTCACTCGCTCACTCCAGTGACGTGCAGTTTCCATGAACAATAACCCAGGCAGTTTGGCCGATGCAGCACATTTCAGGGCCAAAACCATGACCTTTTTTAAACTAGGATCCGCATCAAAAAGGAAACAAGGATCTGAAGTACCCGTCTCGACCTTCTGCCTGAGATCAAGTGTAGTTTCTGTGCTTTTTCACTTACTCCTCGTGCCAGAAAGCTCTCCTGTAGAGCTTTGCTTGTGTGTACACGTCAATGACCAAATCTCTTCATAATGATTGATGGGAAGGATTGAACTCCTGGCAGCAGCTAAGCCTTCAACCCTCTGTTGGTTGGCATTGGTATTGCAGTACTTCTGCCCTCATTAAGAGGCAGAGGAGATACTGTGGAACACAGAGCTCGCTTGCGCACCTGGTCACTCGGCTCAGGCCGGGCTTGCCCTGCCAGACAGACCATCCTGTCGCCTGACCTGCTCGGTGGTCATGAAGACAGGCCACAGGTCTACATTGTCCTTTGACAATTCGAAGCCTATTAAGAGTTTGGAGGGATTGAGCTTGTCTGCCAAGCGCTCTGAGACGCTACCCTGCATGAGGGGCACTATATAAATGCAAGTTGTTGTTGTTGTCTGCAGGGACAATCCTCGTTCCCTTGAGCAATATATTCAATCTAATTGGGCTTAAAGGGGGGAGAGGGGCCTAACCTCGCCAGCCGAATTATAAAACAAAAGCAGGCTGACGGGCAGTTTGATGGAGAAACTTGAATTTATGGAATTCTCTACCCCAGAAGGCTGTGGATTGGATGCTCAGTCATTGGACATATTTAAGACTGAGATCGACAGATTTTTAAAAACTAAAGGGATTAAACGATATGGGGACAGGGCAAGTAAATGGAATTATGTTAGATCATATTAAATTATTAAATGGCGGGGCAGGCTCAAGGGGCTGAATAGCCTACTCCTGCTCCTATTTCTTATTTTCTTGTTATTATGAATAAGGACTACCTGGAGCCTTGGTCACTAGGCTCAGATTGGGTTTCCCCTCCAAGAGGCAATGCAGAGCATCAAGAGATAATCTCCCTTGTGGTTAATGTGTGACCAGCCACAAGAGACATCATCTCTCTTTGATGATTGATTTGCTCAAGAGGTGGTGAGGTAAGCAATCGGGCAGGCTGACTTGTAAATACCTCAACCACGTTTCCTAATCCCTGGTTGGGATCAGGAGGGGTGGAGGGCAGGACTAGGTGACCGAAGGAGTAACATCAGGGATCACACAGAGCCTAATAATAATCCCTCCAAAACCAAAAACAATAATAAATTGGTCATTTTTAATCTACGACTGTTTGTGGGACATTGCTGTGCGCAATTGGCTGCCGCGTTCGCCCACAAATATACAGTCAATTCACTTTACAGTGTGTTCTGTGAAGCGCTTTGGGACGTCCTCTCGACGTGAAAAGTGCTATATCAAATGCAAGGATTATTATTATTATTATCATCCTTGTTGCTCTGCTCTGTCGGCCTGGACAGCCCCTACTACATTGCGGAGACCAGAGATACAGTATGCAGTGCTCCAAAAGTGTGGCCTGACCAGAGCACTAATGGAATCAACTGATTCTGGGCAACTTAGCCCTGTATACTACTTGCTTTGTGTATTGCTGACGTGAAAGGCTCTACACGTCATTAGTTGTTGTTGTTGCTGCCTCTCACTGCGTGCAGACGGTCAGCTAGACTGACTGGACCTCTTTCTGCTCGATCATACCCAGTGCCCGCAGGGTTGGAACACGAACTGATGGAGGTTTTTAAAATAATAAAGGGATTCGATAGGGTAGCTACAGAGAAACTGTTTCCTCCGGCGGGGGGGGGCGGGGATCCAGAACAAGGGGGCAGTCTTAAAATTAGAGCTGGGCCATTTAGGAGTGAAATTAGGAGGTGGTTTTTCATCCAAAGGTTCGTGGAAATCTGGAACTCTCTCTCCCAAAAGGCTGTGGATGCTGGATCCATTCACACCTTCAAGGCTGAGATCCATAACTATTTGTTACGTCAGGGTATTAAAGGATACTGGGCAAGGGTGGGTAATTGGGCTTGAGGTACAGATCAGCCATGATCTTGTAGAATGGTGGAACAGGTTCGAGGGGCTGAATGGTCTACTCCTGTTTCTATGAACGGAAAATACCTTTTCGTCCGGTGAGACGTGGCCCATGGTGACCATCTTCTCCTCGAGGCTCACGCTCAGCGTTGCCGGTTGGAAGATTTTGGTCGGCTCCAGGACTAGAACCTGTTATAGGAAAAANCTGTTTAGGATTGGGGGGAGTCTAATGTTACCTCGTGACAGAGCGGGGTGGGGGGAAGGGTTAGAGGTCACGGTGATGTGTTTGTGTGACCAGCCGCAACAAGGTCACCAAGTAGGAAATGGCCACACAATACAGTCACATTGCTTTACAGGGACGTGAAGGGCAATTTGTGAAGCTCTTTCAGATGTCTGAACAACATGATAATGCGCTATAACAAATGCAAGGATTATTATGAATATAAAGGTTACAAAACACAGTCACTTCACTTTTGGGTGACCAAAAAGTCATGATACCATTACAATGCCTAATAAGTCTTAAAAGAAATGATGGCTTTTTTTTAAGATAATAGAGTAGATAGCTCGATTTTTTGATCGCCCTGTATATTCTGTGAAGCGTCTTGAGTCGTCTCAACATCGTGATAAGGCGCTATATCAAATGATTATTATGTGTATAAATGCCATTAAAGCTACAGATTCTTCCCACTGACCCGAATGGTCCCAGAGTCAGTGCAGAGTGGCTGATCTCAGCCGGGGCAGCGTTTGGACTCACACACAACTTTAGGGACTCACACACAACTTTAGGGCCTGTTCTGAGATGCCTCAGGAATTATTGCACCAGCAGCTCACGGGTTAATCCTCCCGGACTGGGACGGAGAGTGAGTGTTTTAGATTCTTGTTTTTTTTACTGCAATTTCGGTAAAAATAACGTGAGGTGACGATAAGTGCCCGAACTCGCTGCTCGCTCAGTACCAGGAAGCGCTCAGTGGGTGTCTCGCTCCGGCAGATCGCCAACAGGAAATCCATCCAGAAATCAACCAGATCCTGCCGGTCTTGGGGCGGCTCTGACACGTTAGTCTTAAAGCGTCTGTACAGCAGGTACGTCTCCATCGCCGACACCAGGTACCTGAGGAGCAACAGCACACACCTCAGCTCAGCTACAGCACGGCTTAGAGACAAGAGTAACGGTCCCTCTACCCTGTCCGTCCTACACTCCCAGGTCAGCGACAGCACAGGTTAGAGACACAGTGAAGCTCCTGAACTCCACTCCGACAGTGACCTCTGCAGCAGTGCTGAAACTCCGGAGTTCAGTGTCGACGTGGAGTTCTGCTTTGGAGCAGAGTTGCATTGGAGCAACCGTGCTTACGGTCACCTCCTTCCTCCCCCTGGCTCTGATATCAGGCTCTGACATTATTAAGCCCTCTGAGACGCTTCCCTGCACTGTGAGTCGTTGTTGCATACACACTTTTGGGTACTTACGGGATCCATTGGTTACAATTCCTTTTGTGAATCTCTCGATGTGTTCAGTCGCAAGACCCTGAGTTCACTGGCCTTCAAATTACCATGAATAGTGAACGAACAAATTTCTTGCCCTGAGGCTGGGCTGTGAGACTGTCTTACCAGACCGGGGCCTTCAGGCGGTAAAGCTTCTCAGAGGACTGAATGATCTTCAGTTGGTCGTTGAAGAGGATGCTGGCTCCCAGGTAGAATCCCACATCCCAGTAAAACTGCATCTTCTCCACACTCCCCTTCCTGCCCAGCAAGCTGCTCAGCTTCACTCCTGCAAACCCCCAAAACATTCCTTTAGGAAACTGGTGATCAGTTCTCATTGTTCCTCCTCTCCTCTCTTATCCGCCAAGAATACACAGTCACTACACTTTACAGTAAAATCCTGCGACATGCTTTGAGACATCTCAACGATGTGATAAGGTGCTAAATGAAATGCGAGGACTATTATATTATTGCTTGCACTGAGATACTGATATTGGAGAATCTGGATGCTAAGTAGCAGGGAAGAAGTTCCACCTGAGTCTCATGTACAAGTCTTAATTCTAAAACAAAAACAGAAGTCGCTGGGAACACTCAGCAGGTCAGTCAGAACTGACGAAGGGTCTTGGACCCGAGACGTGACTCACTTTCCTCTCTCCATAGATGCTGCCTGATCTGCTGAGTGTTCCCAGCGACTTCTGTTTTTGTTTCAGATTTCCAGCATCTGCAGCATTTTGCATTTTGTCTTAATTCTGAAGTCGTTTTTCCGTAACTTCTTTTAAGAATTATAAGCTTATAAGCGCTCGGAGAAGCTGCCCCGTGTGAAGGGCACTATATAAATGCAAGTTGTTGTTGAATGGCAGAAAACTGACACTAGAGTTAAGGTGAATTCAACAATTTGCTAAATTCTGCGCGCTAAAATGTTCTGTAACCGGTTAGTATGTCTAATTACAAGGTAAGTTCTGACACGCTTAATTGGTAAGCTTAATTACTTGGCAATTCCTGATATACGCGTGTGACTGATCAGTATGTCTAACTACACGCTCTGCAGCTGTGTTATTAATGTTACCGATTTTCCGGAGATCAGAGGACGAATCAAACTGATGTCCGGCTGCCATGAGGAACACAGCGACGTTAATGCCGGAGTGCAGTGTTGGCTCATGTTTAAATGCCCTGCCATACCTGGAGCAGAGAGAGCAGAGTTAGTGGCTGGTTAATGTTCTATACAGATTAACACACACGTGCACAATACACACACACACACACAGATAGACACACAATACATACACGCACACACACATACACACACAATACACACCTCTACACAATGCATATACACACACACAATATACAAGCACACACACACACGCATACAGACTGACAAATATAGACAGAATGACTCACACGCACTCATATACATAGACACAGACTGACCCCCACGCACGCACGTAAGCAAGCACAGGGTGCTGTAACTTTTATGAATCTATGAACCTCTTGATCTTAAGAGGAGGCATTAGCTTAAGATCTCCAAACAGCTCATATTGCAGGCTTCAGTCAGGATTAAAGTGAGATATCTGCTGACGTCTGAGGAAGAGACACAGACTAATTCACTGACCTGGGCTACTAACCTGGGCAGCTGGAGGGAAAGAGCAGGTCGGCCCTAAATGACAGTGTGATATGGTCACCACCCACCCTGGATCAGCCCAGACTATACTGGTAACCAATGGCAACAGAATTGGAATAATATAATTACATATAAGCCAGCTACACCCAGCTCCAGCACTGGGTCAGACATTTATTTAAAGGATAAACATAAAGGCTAATAAGCCACATCATCAAACAGCCGCTTTTTCGTCTCCCATCGTGACATAACAATAATAATAATCCTTGCGTTTGATATAGCACCTTATCACGTCTTCGAGACGTCTCAAAGCGCTTCACAGAGTATACCGTAAAGTGAATTGACTGCGTGGAAACCAGGAACACAGTCTAAACCTGATAGCGTGCAAACATCCGAAGGAGCATGCCAAGAACCACTCAGTAAGCAAACAGCAACTAGTTGTGCAAACCCTGGCTCTGCGTGCAGAGAATGACTGGCGTGCACACCAACTGCACGTGCAAACATCACTCGGACTGCAATCGCCGTCCAGTGTTTGAGCTCTAAACGTTCAGCGTTTAGGAGCCTGCGTTTTTTCCTCTTGGTTTGTAAGAGAAGGCTACCACAGCGTGTCGTACCAAAGCACAGGAGGTGAGGCAGTGGTGGTGGGGAAATGGGAATGCATTAAGGCGCTATATCAAATGCAAGGGTTATTATTATTATTATCTCATCACAGACCGGCAGAGTTGAACCTGTGACCTCTGTGTAATCATATACAACAACTGTCACTTATATAGCGCGGGGCAGTGTCGCAGAGCGCTTGACAGTGGCGGAGCACGATGCTGAGCTGGGGGGAGTGGGAGGTGACTGTAGGCACGGTCGACATATCCAGGATATATAATCACTCCACGATCTCACCCCACTCTGCGCCTGTGGCAAACGTTTCACGGTTACCAACTCAGCCGCTCCTTTCGCTCAGCGAACACTGACCTTCATATGCTCCTCCCTACCTTCCCCCCACCTCCCCCCCATCGGGTGTGCTGCCTGCCACTCACAGCTCATCCTCAGTAATTTAAGACGTGACCGCAATTCCTGCCTGACCGTGACACACACGGTGATCAGTATTCTTGTGACCCGATGCGGAACTTAACGGTCCACAAGCTCCTCGCTGGTGGTGTGGGGGGGGGCACATCACAGGGCTCACTCAGGAGACTTGACAGTGATCCCTCCTTGATCCCAACCCCCAGCGCGGGTCCAAATCCCTGACTGTCCAGCACCTTGGGAGGTCCGCCCGACGTGAAAGGCGCTGTACAAATATAATTTTGTTATTGAATATGGTTGTATCTTTCAACCGAGCCTCGGGACAGAGTGATGAAAAGCACCACTGCATGGAATATTAATAACACTGCTTGCATTTGATGTGGCGCCTTGTCACATCATGGAGACGTCTCAAAGCGTCTCTTTGTTGTAAAGCGGATTTCCCAAAACAGCCATGGAGCGAGTGACCAATTTGCACCTGGGGGATTGCTGGCCAGGGCACCAGGAGAGAGGAACTCCCTTCTCTTTTCGAATAGCGCCAGGTGATCTTTAACATTCAATCGAACAGGCAGGTTTGCCTTGGTTTAACGTTTCATCCGAAGGACGGCTACTCCGATAATGCATCCCCAACGTCAGCTTAGACTACACGATTCCAAGTCCCGACGTGGGGCTTGAACCCACAACCTTTTGACTCAAAGACAAGAGCGCTACCACTGCACCAGGCTGACTCACATTAGGCTAAGGATCTGGTGTTATGGAACACTTGCACACACCTGGTCACAACATGCAAACGCCCTGGGGATACGGGAGGGAGTGTGAACAGCTCGCTGCTGATGGGGGAAGGTGTTTCGCTGCAGAAAACGGGTTGGATTTCTGCTTCTGAAAAACAACACTTAAACCCTCGTAGCTTTAGGCACGCTCAGGCACGCTCAGCCAAAACCATTTCCAGCACACACACAAAAACATTCAAATTCCTTGCTGCACCTCTCTTGTCAGGAAGGCGTCTCAAAGTGCCTTTTCTCAGCTCAACAGGATTTACTGGAGAACGCAGTAAACTATTACCATGGCTTGTAAATAATAATAATCCTTGCATTTGATGTAGCGCCTTAACACATTCGTTGAGACATCTCAAAGAGCTTCACAAAATATACGGCAAAGGGAATTTGACTACGTATTTAATGGCCGTTGTACCAACGCATTGCATAAGAATCAGTAAGAAGGGCAGGCCACGGTGCCCTGCTAATGAATTGCACAGACATAGCTCCTGGCTCTCAGCTGTCTGTTTCCGTGTTCTCCCATCACACACAAACCACAGGCCAACAACAGCCAGGAAATGCCAGGCTCACACTGCAACTGACTGACACTGTACACTCTTTCGCACTGTTGTTACTCTCAGCTACCTTTGCCGCTGCCTTTCTAGACTGCTGCAGCTCTCAGTCTGGAGAGCTCATGACCACTGGGAGACTACTTGCTTCCAGTGGGGAGGCTGTTGCCAGCTTTCTTAAGCCGCTACCAGAAGCCTTTTTATGGAGCCTTTAACGGAACTCGGAGGTAAATGTGGAAACGTCAACAATTTGCAGAAGAAATAACAGCTGATATGAACTGTGGTCTTGGGACATAGAAGGCACTGTCTTTCACCCTGCCACCTCTGCAGCCTCTCCAAGGCTTACTGTATGATGTTGGCAAAAGGATCCATAACTAGTGGACTCCGAGGGGAATTGGACTTGTGTCAGGCAGGCTCGCTGGATGTCCCCTCAGACGCCCATATTCCGGCAGGAGCTGAGTCTCCTTTGGATGTAAACCGGTTATGATCCGGCTTCACGAAACAACACTGAGATCAGTGTCCAAGTGGAGTTCCAGAAAGATTTACCCAGCTAACCTCAGGATCCGCTGTTTACCAATCTCATCACATTCCTCCACAGTGCAGAGAGGGCGTGTGCTCACCAATAACAGGACTTGTCTCGACTCTGGCAGTCTGTGAAGTCGGAACTGATGAAGATATCTTTGTATATTCGCCCACAGAGACAATAAAGGTCTGAGGAGATCTGCTCTCCACTCTCCACCACCGGCAAAATCACATCTAGAGCCTTCTCCCGATCGCCTGGCTGGTTCCTCCTGTGGAAAGACACACAAATAATAATATTAATAATCATAATAATAATCCTTATATCTAAGCATTCCGAGATTCCGCCCCGCGTGAATATAATTGCAAGTTGTTGTTGTTACATCTGATAACATAACATGTAGGAGCAGGAGTAGGCCCTTTGAGCCTCTGCCCCGCCATTCAATCATGGCTGATCTTCTAATCTAACTCCAGCTAATAACCTAACTCTGCTTTATCCCCATATCCCTTAATCCCTCTTACAATAAGAAATCCATCTATATAGTGCCCCATCATGTCATTAAGACACCTCAAAGTGCTTCACAGGACATACTGTAAAGTGCAGTGACTCTGCATTTTGTGGCGAAACACGGCAGCCAATTGCGCACAGCACTTTGCCATAAACAGCTATAAAGTGAGTGAATAACTTTTTTGACGGGATGGGGCGAATTGTTGGCCAGGACATCCCAAGAGAGAAACTCCCTTTTCTTTTCCAATAGTGGCAGGAGATCTTTAACATCCACCTGAACAGGTAGACGGGACCTTGGTTTAAAGTCTCATCTCGAAGGACGTGTGTAAATGAGAAACAGGAGAGGGGGTTACTCCCCAGGTGACCGAGTGGGGGACGGGAGCAGAAACCACTGCAGGAGACAAAATAATGGGGGTGGGTCAAGTAGGATTTGAACCAGGAGAATGAGGTCCTAATGAGTTGAATCGAGGAGGAGAGGTGATTGAGGAGGACACTGATTGTTACTAAGTGAGATGCACAGTGTATCTGGTTAGGAGGGGTTGGGGTGAGGGGTTTGGCACACTTTGGGACAGGAATTTTATTTCTGCTGTTCTGCCATTGGATCATCGGTTGATGCCTCTACATCACTGATGGTTCACCAACAGCCCGTTTCGTAAAGTTACAGATTTGTTGACAATCTGACGTGCAAAGTGTCAGCCCACCCGCCCGCACGTCCTGTGAAGCGCTTTGAGACGTCTCAACGGCGTGGTAAGTCGCTATATCAAATGCAAGGATTATTATTATTTATAAGCCACAGTAAAATTGGGTCACTTACACTCCACGGCTGTTTGTGGGAAACGGCCGTGGGTAATTGGCTGCCATGTTTGGCTCGCAAAATACAGTCGTTGCACTTTACGGTACTGTATATGTTGTGAAGTGCTTTGAGACGTCTCAATGCCGCACTAGATCAAATGACGTGAGCTCCCGAGTGACTCAATGGGTTTGCTGGGCTCCTACCTGTTGAGTGCGAAGGAGTAATGGAACTTGACGTTCGGCTGCTTGGCCACATTGCAGGTCGGCAGCTTTTGCAAGGTTTCCACCAGTTTGATGATACCATCGAGATCCTGCGGAACACAGCGTTTCTCACATTAACAGCACTGCTCCCCTGGTTACTCAGCATCAATCCATACACAGGGCTGGCTCTGCAACCTTCCCACTGCTGGTCAGGCTGTTATAAGGCCATCCATCACATTTCTTGAGCTAATATGAGCTTACACCTGGCCAACAATCCCCCAAATAAAATTGGTTACTCGCTCCATGGCTGTTTGAGGTACATTGCTCATCACAAATAGGCTGCAGCATTCACCCACACACTCAAGAAAACCCCCAGCGCGTTGGGATGCGAAAGGCACTGTACCAAATGCAAGGATTATTATTACACAGAGGTGTCACGGCTCATATCGGCTTTACGCAGTCTGATGCAACCTGCTGGAATTTGGTTAAAACTCCCAAGTGAGGAATTTTCACTCAGAATAAAGGAACTCCTGATCAAGTCTTGTGCGGGGAGAGGGAGAGCATAGCACTGAGTACCAGTGACCTAGCTAACTCTGGCCTTAATTAATAATAATACTAACAATCCTTGAATTTTATATTGTGCTGTATCACGTTGTTGAGACGTCTCAAAACGCTTTACAGAATACACTGAAAAGAGAATTGACTATATGTTGTGGGTGAAATATTGCAACCAATTGCGTTCAGCAGTGTCCCATAAACTAATTGTGGATAGAGTGACCAAATTATTATTTAGTTATTTATTTTATTATTATTATGTTTTTGGAAGCGATTATTACCCCCAGGAAGCGATTCACCAATCGACTTAACAACCGACTTCCTATTTACTGCTAGGTAAACCAAGGTGTGGGTGGAGTAAGCAAACTTGCCTAAGGTTTCGTCCCGCCCGGGAATTGAACCTGGGTCTTCTCACTTGCGAGGGCATGCTCTAACCAATATGCTACAGGACTCCACAGTTTAAAAAAAGGAATGAGTTAACACTGTTTTCTTAACACCCATTTCTTGAGTCATAGTTAAGATCAGAGAACACACTGAACAGGTTTAACAAAAACAGCAACTTTTACTTCATAAAATGCAAACAAAAGGTTAGGCATCAGGTGGAACACTGTGACGGTGTTGGGTGCCCATTACAGGAAGGATATAGAAATGATAGAAAAGATTCAGACTTTACGGGACAATTGAGTTTACAGTATATTCTGTGAAGTGCTTTGAGATGCTTTTTCCACACTCCCAGATAATACAGAGAGCGCCTCAGACACCACTATCTTTTCACCCCTTCCTTCAAACCTGCTCATCAGCCCCAGTGCCTTGGGACATCCTTTCAATGTGAAAGACGCTATTTCAATGTAAATTTGCATTGCAAATTTGTATATATGCAATCTTTAGCTCCGCAGATCTTTACATCCATGAAGTTTGTTTCTTATTTGAATAAACATAACCATGGAGTTGGCAGCACAGAGAAATACAGATTAAGAACATCTGGGTTGTGGGTCATTGAAACTGAACTTTAATTATTTGTGTTTGTCGTAAGAAATAAGAACTTCACTACAGTTGTGTTCCGCGACTGACAAGCACTCTGGGACGCTACCCTGTGTGAGGGGTGCTATGTAAATGCAAATTGTTGTTGTTGTACAGCGTTGCTAAGGGATAGGGGATCAAGCCTGTCAGAGAAGTGAGAGGGCAAGAGGTTAAAGGAACTCTCATGGTAGAGCCTAGGGAGAGGCAGCCCCATACACAAAGACATGTATCAGTGCTGAGCTAACAAGGAATGTTATAACGACGTCTGATATTGGGGATGTAAGAGTGTGTGTGCTATAATGGGGTCTGTTATTGGGGATGGTGCTCTGATAACTCCATTAGGTGTGAAGCTGCCATTCCCAGGTAGGAGACAGACCTGGATATCACGGTAGGTCAGGAGGAGGTTCATCACGATATCTGCACTGAGCAACTCCACACTGTCCAGACGCTGCTGTATACGTGTCAGCGCCTCCTGCAGATCCTTCCCGCTGTACATCTCCCTGGCTTTGCGGATTTCATTCCGAATCGTCTCCCGGAAATATTCACTGGAAAAACAAGTGGAGAGATGGTTCCTGGTCTGAATGCTGTGATGTGTATCAGTGCCAAGCTCCCTCCATCCCTCCTGCCTGTATCATCAATCTGTCTGACTTACTCAACAACAACAACTTGCACTTATATAGCGCCATCCACGCAGGGATGACTCTGAGCCGGGGGGGAGGGAGCACGGTCGAACAGGAAAGTTTTCAGGCGGAACTTGAAATAGTGGAGAGCGGGGGCAAGGCGGAGGGATTGAGGGAGAGTGTTCCAGAGTTTGGGGTGTAGTGGCTGAAAAGCGCGATCTCCGATGGTGGGGCGGAGGGTGTGAGGGACGAGCAGGAGGCTGGTGCCAGTCGGGTGGTGGTTTGGGGAGTGAGGAGGTAGGAGAAGTAGCATCATTGCCTCAGCCACCGTTCCTGGTAATCCTGCTCCAGGCATTAACTACCTTTTTGCAAAGAAAATGGTATTAAGGGATATGGGGCAAGGGTGGGGGGAACTTGACTTGAGGTACAGATCAGCCATGATTTTATAAAATGGCAGAATAGGCTCGAGGGGCTAAATAACCTGCTCCTGTTTCTATGGTTCTAATCATAATTCCGATGTGCCACACCGGTTTAGGAGAGATTCCCAGCAGGGCGAAACCTTGGGCAAGTTTCCTTACTTCACACGCCTGATAATAATCCCTCAAGAGAATAAGTAAATAAAATAATAATATGGTCACTCAATCCATGACTGTTTGTGGGACGCTGCTGTGCGCAATTGGCTGCCGCATTTCGCCCACAAAATAGACAGTCATTCCACTTTGCAGTATATTCTGTGAAGCACTTTGAGACGTCTCGAAGATGAGATAAGGTGCTATATCAACGCAAGTATTATTATTATTATTAAACTCTTGCTGGAGTTTGCCCTAAAATTGCCCTCCACACCCTGAGCCTGTAAGTGGATACCAGTTTTGCTGCTCAGAGGACTAAAGAAGCCAGACATAAATACTGGTAATCAAGTGGTGCCTGGCAGTGAGAGCTGCTCTCCAGCCACACTTAGATTATATCTGTAGAAGATCATCTGACTCAGGTCAGAGCTGCTTACACAGAGCAGCGAGGCACGCCCAACAACCACAAAGTGAGCCAGCATATCGATGCTCCAGCAGAGATTAACATTGGCTGCGTTCATCAAAATACCAGCTGAATAGATAGATATTTGTTAGGTCAGGGTATTAAGGTCAACGGAACAAGGCAGGTGGGGGGGGGGGTTAACTGGACTTGAGGTACAGATCCACCATGATCATATAAAATGGCAGAACAGGCTCGAGGGGCTGAATGGCCTAATCCTGGTTCTATGATTCTAACCATGATTCTGATGTGCCACACCGGTTTAGGAGAGATTTAAACGATGGCACTACACTCAGTATTTATAGCTCGTCTGTGGGTCTGATGTCATCAATATAATAAAAATAATCTTGGGACATGTGAAAACCACACCCTTAAGTACAGTATTTGCCTAGTTTACCGGAATGCAAAGTAGTGAGACCCTCAGCTCTACAGATAAACAAATGGAATTACTCGATTGTTTTGTTTTGCAAATGACTTGAGGTTACCAGAGAATGCAATCTTTTTTGGTTTATTAGTTTTATTTGGGGGGAATAAAGAATATTGCTCTTATATTTCTGCTCAGCGATAGCCCCAATGTGATGCGTGTCAGCCTGGCTCAGTTAGTAGCACTCTCGCCTGAGTCAGAAGGTTGTGGGTTCAAGCCCCACGTCGGGACCTGCAATCACATAGTCTAAGCTGACACTCCAATACAGTGCTGGGGGTGTGTTGCATTGTCAGAGGTGCCATGCTTTGGATGAGATGTTAAACCGAGGTCCTGTCTACCTTCCACCAGATAGCTGATGAGAAGACAAGTTGCTGGAAGGCGTTACTTGGAATTAGACTGGAAGCAGCTCCTGGTAACCTGACAAACCAAGCCCTAACTGACAGGTTTTGTCCTAACTGCACAAACAGTGGGAAGCTTGGCAGGCAGTGCTATCAATGCGGGTTCAGTTGGTTGAATCCAGCAGTTATCTCGATGCACACACTAAGGTGTCCAAGCCTTGGCTCTTGCCAGCTCATACCTAATAGTTTCTTGAAATTTGTAAGAAGGATATGTCCCTCCAGGGAGTGAATTACCATGAATTGGTGGGATGCACAGAATTTTCAGTCTGGTTGGGATACTCTTAAGCACGGAAGAGTTTCTGCATGTGTCAGACACCCGGCTGACCAAAAAAACCTTGCGAGTCTGAGGCAGTGGATGTCGGAGGTTTAATCAACACAAGTGGGGGGTGCATGAAAAAAAATTCTTGCCTTTGCTAGAACACCTTTCACATCAGGAGGATGCTTCCCATGATTTATTGTAATGTGTAGTAATTATTTTATTGGTGACGTGGCAGCCAATTTACTCACAGCAATGTCCCACAAACAGTTATTACCTTTCTGAAGGTAGATGTCCATCAGATAGCTCATGGAGAAACTCTGAGGCTTGGAATGACAGCCACAGGAAGGTGTTACCTGGAATCTGAGATCGTTGAACACACGTTCATATATCCAGGACTTGGAATCCACTTTGATTGGCATACAGAGAGTTAAGTAGCTGCTGATCAAGCTCCCCACCTCCAACTGGTGGAACCACGACTGAACGGTAGGATGTGGGTTTGCAACTGTGGGCAGGAAGGCAGTGGCAATGCTCTCACACATTTCATGCTGAGCTGCCCATGAGGAAGCCCACGGGGAGTTCTTAGTACCGGCCATCCAACGAGTAAGGGTTCAAACCAGCACTCGAATGTCAAATGACAAACTAGTGACTATCCTCCTTCGCGGGGACGTAAGCGGAGTTTCCTTGGAGCTGAACTGTCTGAACTAGATTTGACCCATTTGACCCAAATGTACCAAACCCAATCATGTGTAGTACCTGCTTATTAACCTTAACAAAACTACTGCCTCTGGAAACTGACAAGACTCTTGACATCTCTGATGAATGCTTCAAATTCCCCCAACACTCCCTCCATGTTCTGCTCAAGGCTGGAGGAAGTAACGAGTGTGTGGAAACCATTCACAGCTGACGTTGTATTTATATAGCGCCCTTCACACAGGGTAGAGTCTCAGAGAGTTTACCAGTAGCGGAGCCTGACAAAGAGGAAGGTTTAAGAACTGATCTGAAAATGAGGAAGGAGAGGCCAAGGCTGAGGAACTGAGGGAGAAAGTTCCAGAGTGTTGGGACGTAGTGGCTGAAAGTACGGCCGCTGATGGTGGAGCAGAGAGGATGAGGGACATGCAGGAGGTCGGAGCCAGGCAGCAGTTGGAGGTGTGGAGAATATTATAAGGTCAGAGAGTTAAGGAGGTGCCAGGATGTGAAAGGATTTGTAGATGAGTGTGAGGATCTTGAAGTGGATCCGTTCTGTGATAGGGAGCCAGTGGAGCGTGGAGATGACTGGGGGAAGGGGGTGCGGGCAGGGATCGGAGGTGAGGCAGCACTTACCAGGAGTTGATCTCGGTCTCCTCCAGCAGTTTGGTCAGCCGGTCCACCAGGGGCGTGAGCAGTGGCTCGAGGTTAAAACGTGGCTGAAATAACTCGGTCAGACACTTCATCATCCCGGCTTCACAGCAGAAGACCTTCCCGTTTGGGGTCACTATGTAGGGGATGAAGGTATAATTCCCACAGCATCCCTGGGAAAAAAAAACACAGGGGTATAAATTCCGGCGAGCAGACATTGGGAGAGTTGGAGGATATTAATGGGATTTGATGCTGAATTCCGCTTGTTGTTAATTTGTAGAAATTTTAAGTTACACCGAGTTAGGCCTCAGCTCGAGACTGTGTTCAGTTCTGGGCCCCACACTTTAGGAAGGATGTCAAGGCATTGGAGAAGGTGCAAAGGAGATTTACCAGGATGGCACCAGGGATGAAGGACTTCAGGTATGAGGAGAGGCGAGAGAAGCCAGGATTATTCTCCTTGGAGCCGAGAAGGTTAAGAAGAGACTTAATCGAAGTTTTTAAAATTATGAGGGGATTCAATAAGGTGAACAAGGAGAAACTATTTCCATTGACCGTGGGTCGGTAACCTGGGGATACTGATTTAAAATAGCTGTTAAAAGAAACAGAGGAGAGGTGAGGAGACATTTTTTCACACAGCAAGTTGTTCGTATCTGGAATGCATTGCCTGAAAGGTTGGTGGAAGCCAATTTGTTAACAACTTTTAAGAGAGAAGTAGATAATTATTTGCAGGCCTATTGGGAGAGAGCGGGGGAGTGGGGTTGATTTGGATAGCTCTTTTCAGAGAGCTGGCAGACACGATGGGCCGAATGGTTTCCTTTGGTGCTGTATAATTCTATGATTCTGCACGCAGAAACTAAGCAAGTCATAGATAGCAGTTAATCAGAGAACGAGTTTCTTAACTAGCAATTGAAATTGAGTAACCTCACAGAGGGAGTGTCTCCCTTAGCAACCTTCTCATTAGTATCATGTTTTTGAGGGGCACAACAACATCACATGCAATGATTATTATTATTATTTAATTGGCCTCAGAAACAGGGCACAGACTCAGCGAAATGATCAGCAAGGCCATCTCACTCCCTCAATAATGACTGAACCAAATCCCAAAGCAAACAACATGGCAGCACACTTCCTGAACAGGGCAATGAGTTAGCATCAGACGTCCTCTTGTCTGTGTGTACAGACTTACTAATCTGATGGCCACCCAACGGAGCAGAAATCCAGAGAAGGGAGAAGATCCACCTCCGCCCTCCTGGCTCCAGCCTACTGCACGTCCCTTACTGGCGACCGTGGTTTCAGCCACTACTCTGGAACTCTCCCTCTCTTAAAACCTCTGCCTTCTCCTGGGTCTAGATTCTCTCTATTGCTACAACATTTCCGAACGTGTAGAATTGAGCATGTACCTCTGTGGGTCAGAAGGATGTGGGTTCAAGCCCCATGTCAGAACTTTAAACTCACAATCGAGGCTGACATTCCAATCCTGTGCTGAGAGGGGCCGGCCCTTAGATGAGTCAAGGTCACCTCTACCAAATATCTCATGGCACGACTCGAAAAGAGAAGGGAGTTTCTCCTGATGTCCTGACCAACAATCCTGCTGGCTGTTTGTGAGACATTGATTTGTGCAAATTAGCTGCTGGGTTCACCCACTATTATTAATAATTACCACTAGAATTTGATATGGTACGTCATCAAAACATATTTACGGGTTTTTAATGCAATGTAAAATGACTGAATCTGGAGGTGAAAAGAGGTTTGTTGAATCCAAGGATTATTGTTATAAATTTTGGACGCTGCGTAACGCTCCATAAACAGAGTAAATGTAGACCTAGACAGAATTTTGTTTTGCACCAGTCATCAAACAAATGTGTTCTCCGCACCCATTGCATTTCTGACAAGTGAATTACTTAACCTGTGAACTTGAGAGACCTGAAATTCCACTTAGTCTCAGCCTGTAAGACCACTGTTGGGGCCAATAGGTAACTGGATCATCCCCTATGTGACACTATGCGGGTTGCTGGGTGGGTGAGGACAACGGCTTGTATCTCCTGCGTGTGCAGAACTTATCACAGTGTTGAAAACAACTCCCACTTGGCAGATTGTCAGCAGCAGATTCCCCAAGAAGTAAAGTTTGTCTCATTGGCACAGCTCCACCTGAGAAAAGGGCTGAGGGCAAAAGGCTTAATTTAGCACCAAAAACATCTTGGCCTCAACCAAGCTCCACATCTATTAATTATTTATCAGCTTCACCAGGTACATATCAATTACACATTTGCAACAGCCCGGAGGACTCAAATGCCATTTACTTTAGCCTGAGAGAGAATTGTATCTAAATCTAATATTAAATTTGAGTAGGATTATTATTTTATGGAAAATTCTTAATTTCAGTCCCAATTTGGAAGCTACTTCTTTTAAAGAACTGTAGAAAACCTGCTTCCAACTTTGAAACATTCCACAATTCTCTGCATTAATTAATTAAACTAACTAACTAATAGCCCTACAATTTCTAGTTCGACTGCTACTGGTACCAGTTGTACATTACAGGAATCTAGGATCAAGAGGACCCATCAAACCTGTTCTACCAGTTTGTTAAATTAAGACAGATATTTTAATCCAAGTTTATAATCTTTTTTCCATATCCCTTTATATCCTTAGTTTTCTTAATTATCGAACACCTCTTGAACTTCCAATAAATAGGCTCTGCTGCGACTGCTCACAGACAGACTTATTATTCACACTTGTATGGGCACATTCCCAATCCCCAAACTATTTAAATCATATTTACAGCAATGAATTACAAGAATAGAGATTGCATCACTTTAGGGATATTATTACTGGAATACAGCATATAACATTTTTGCAGAATTAGTTGAGGTCCCTTTGAGGCTGAGAGAGCAAAGCATTAACCTCAGCTCATAGCTCGTCCAGTGAGGGAATGACAGTATAGCCCAGTATAATAATCCTTCCATTTTTATTGTGCCTTCCACACCTGGGAGGAAATCTCACTTCACATGAGTTACTGTAACATGTAATGATCATGAAGTGCAAACATGGCATCCAATTTGCACACAGCAATGGCCAACAAACAGTGAACGTGAAATGAATGACCAATTTTATGGGGGATTATTGGCAGGACACTGGGAAAAACTCCCTGTTCTTTGCCAATAGTGCCGTGGGATCTTTAACATCCAGTTGAACAATTATGTGAGATCTCAGTTTAAAGCCTCATCCAAAAGTCAGTTCCTCTGACAATGCAGTGATTACCCCAGCCCTGCACTGGAGTGCGTCTGTCTGTACTAGGAACTCAAGTCCTTATGTGGGGCTTGAACTCACAACCTTCTGACTCAGAGGTGAAAGTGCTGCTGACTGAGCCAACATATATCATCAATCATCGTTTGCATCCCACAGGAAAGGCGCAAGTCTGTAACCAACTGAGACCAAAGTGCTGTCCTGTTGTTGTATAATGGATGGGCCTGGAGCTTACGAACTTGGACTAGCTGGTTTTCTGGTCTCAGTATTAGCTCTACGTGTGTGTGCGTGTCTGACGAGGACTAAATTGTCCTGGCCTTCCCATGGTTACGGATGGAAAAAACAGTCAGGGTTACTGTTCATGGGTCCTCTTCAGCACCCTCTACAAGTTTTATTTGATATAGCACCGTAGAGTCCTGTAGCTCATTGGTTAGAGCATTCTCCTGGCAAGCAAGAGACCTGGGTTCAATTCCTAGCAGGGCAAAACACTGGGCAAGTTGCCTTACTCCACACACCTCTGTTTAGCTAGCAGTAAGTAGGAACCCAGTTGTTAGTCGATTGGGGGATCGCTTTTCCGGGGTAATAATTCCTTAAATATAAATTCAGTCAGTTCACTTTACAGTATATTCTGTGAAGCACTTTGAGACGTCTTGAAGACGTGATAAGGGGCTATATAAAATGCAAGGATTATTATTATTATTATTGGAATTTACAACACTGAAGAAGGCCCATTGTGTCTGCTGGCTCTTTTAATAGCAATCCGTTCAGTCCTATTTACCTGCTGTTTTCCCATACTCTGTCACTTATTCCTCTTAAGATACTTATCTCACTCCCCTTTAAAAGCTAATATGGATTCTGCCTCAACCAGTCCTCCCAGCAGGGCATTCCACATTCTAACGCTCTGTGTGTGACAGAACATTGTACATTGGCGCATTGGCCCCTAGATCCCTCTGCTCTTTTAATAGTTTACCACAAGGACACAGTCCCTACGCCGCAGTAAAAAAGGATATTGGAGAAATCGAGAAGATACAGAGGAGGGACCAAAATGATTGAGGGAATAGAGGGACCGGACTATGAGGAGCGACTAAGTAAATTGGGCATGTTCACCCTGGAAAAGAGAAGATTGAGAGGCGACATGATTGCTGCCTTTAAGATTCTAAAGGGGCAAAACAATATAGATCATGACAGGCTGTTTCAACTTGTCCAGAACAGTAAAACCAGAGCCTGCAATTGAAGGGGGTAAATTCAGAACAAATCTTCACAAACTCCATTACAGTGAGCAAGTAGTGAACCTGTGGAATAGGCTCCCTAGGGAGATGGTTGAAGCAGGAAATGTTGATTCTTTCACAGATTAGATAGTTTTCTTTTAGGAAATATCATGATGGGATATAGTACAGAGGGGTTTCAGGATATATGTGCATGTGACCACCAGAAAGGTGGAAGGCGAACTGGATGGACCTTGGTCTTTTTTCGTCTAGCATTTCGTATGTTTTGTTGTGTTCCTCTATAGGTCAATCTGGCCTTGGGTGATTACCAGGGAAACCACAAGATGCTCCGTGTGTTGAAAGTTGTTTCCTGTGAGATTACATTTGCCAACTCTGTCATAGAAAAACTTCAAATAGAACACAATGCTTTGCAGTGAGAGAGAGAGAGGGAGACAGACAGACAAGAGACAGGCAGGCAGAGAGAATGACAAAGAGAGATAAGAGACAATGCAAGAGACAGACAGAAAAACAGAGAGAGAACGCAAGAGAGGTAAACACACAGATAATAAATAGACAGAAAGAGGAAAAAAGAGAGAAAAGGACAACTTGACTTCAACTGATGTCTCACCCCCTGACAGATGTTTTTCCAACTGCAAGACCCCTGGTGAATAGAACTGTCCCTCCCTCCCAACTTCAGTGGCACAAACAGCAGCTCCCAAACAAGCAGCAAACCCTGCTTTCAGCAATGTCTTTCTAAATGGGCAGCCTTCCCTCAAAGATGATAATAAATAAATAAATAATCCTTACATCTGGTGTAACATCTTTCATGTCAATAGTTCGTCCTGAAGCACTTCATAGGATGTACGGTAGAATGAAGGGACTGTGATGTTTTGCGGATGAAGATAATTATAATAACAATCCTTGCAATGGTTTCAGTGCAATATCATGTTGAGAAAGTGCTTTGCAGAATATACTGTAAAGTGGAGTGACTGTGCATTTTGTGGACGAAACACGACAGCCAAATGGACACAGCAGTGTCCCACAAACAGTTGCAGATCGAGTAACCGATTTTTTTTGAGGGATTATTATCCTCCAATGCAGGGGATGTAAATGGAGGAAGGGCTCCAGCCTGCGTGGAGGAGGCTGGGAGGTTCATTGCTGTGTTTCGGCAAGAGTTCCATGGAGAGAAACATTCTCCATTTTCTTAAAATACAAAGTACAGCCTGAAGTTAACTCAGGGGTTACACGACCTCAAGTGAAGTGAATTCCTGACTGTGGCTAACGCCTCTTTGATTCGAGTTACAGGCTGCTTTTCAGTTCACAGACTTTATACAGACACTCGGACATAACATGTTGACTGTGTTGGAAAAGTACAGTATCTAAAGCTGTTCAGCCGTTCGTTCCTCGGCTGTCCCAGATGAAATAATAAAACACCTTCACCGAACTTGCTGCCCGAAGTGATGGTTGAATCAGACACAATAGTGTTAATGCATTTAAAAGGAAGTTAGATATACACATGAGGAAGAAGGGAATAATAATAATAATCCTTGCATTTGATATAGCGCTTTTCATGTCTTCTAGACGTCTCAAAGCGCTTCACAACTGTAAAGTGAATTGACTGTATATTTGTGGGCGAAACGCGTGGATTGAAAATTACCAATTTATTATTGTTTTGTGTTTTGGAGGGATTATTATTAGGTGTGTGGAGTAAGGAAACTTGCCCAAGGTTTCGCCCTCTGCCTGGAATTGAACTCAGGTCTCTTGTTTGCAAAGCGAGTGCTCTAACCACTGAGCTACAGGATTCCGAATAGAAGAGTTTGGGAGGGAGTAAAGAGTAGAGACTTGTGTGGAATATAAACAACGGCACGCACTGGCTGGGCTGAATAGTCTGCTTCCTTGTTGTACAATCTAATGTAAATCTTTAAATTCAACACAATTTACAGGATCATTGAAGTGGAAAGAACAAATAGGAATTGTGAGTGCAGATTTGGCCCAGAGCAACACTTATTGAGGGAAATCAACTAAAGACACATTTTGAGGAAACATGTCCACAGCTAAAAGTGTAGATAGCCCTTTTTTTGATAATAAATTTGACAAAGGAGGGTGTTAGATAATAATCATAATAACTGAACTGAAACCAGATAAAACTGAAACCAGAAAACATACACATTTGGGACAGAGCAGACCATTAGCTACTCAGGTCTTGATGTCATACACTTGGTGGCATATGTACTCTCAGTCTGGATTGGATATTCTTAAGCATAATAATAAACTTTGCATTTGACATAGTGCCTTATCGCGTCTTCGAGACGTCTCTAAGCGCTTCACAGAATACACTGTGAAGTGAATTGACTGTTTTGTGGGCGAAATAATGACGTATCTGTTGGACACCGGGCTGACCAAAAAAATTCTTACGCACAATGGAAGAATTTCATTGGGTCCTCACCCTGACCTCTGCCATGCCCTATATAATATTGACAGTAAATCTGGCTATTATGGGCAATGCTGCACTGTCGAGCCCTCCGAGACACCGTCCGGAGTACAGGATGGTATATAAATGCAAGTTGCTGTCATTGTCATCCTTACTGACAGGGAACATACTACATCACATGAAGCATTACTGCCTTCTGCACACTGTGTCGCCCTGTTTACAAGCCTCCATTTCACAATAGCATAATACAATGTTTGTCATGGATATAAATATATTGACCGGACTCCACGTATTTTGACAATTATAGCTGCTTTTTCTGCAGTTACCACATCAATACTGTGACGAACAAACAGCACAAACCTCCAGGTCATGGTATTGGACCCCGTGTAAAAGGTCAGAGAGAAATCTATCCTTTCACTGAAGTGTCAAATAATCTCACAATGTCCAAACCAATTATACAATAAAAATACTTAGATTTGATAGAACACCTCAAACCACTTCACAAAAATTTACTTTGAAGTGTAGTGACTGTGTTATTGGATTGTTGGCCAGGACACCAGGAGAAACTCCCTTCCCATTTTGAATCGTGCCGTAGTATCGTTAACATCCACCTGTCTGTCTACAGATAGGGCCTTGGTTTAATGTCTCATCCGAAAAATTGCATCTCCAGTATGGGATTGGGAATGTCAGTCTAGACAATGTGAGTTCAAAGACCCAATGTGGGGCTTGAATCCACAACCTTCTAACTCAAAGACTTGAGAGTACTACCAATTGGACCAGACTGACACACTGTTGTGTTTGTTCAATGTTTCCCATATCTTAAGTTACCCATTTCAGTCAAATTGGTCATGCATTGCCTGAAGAGTCAGGACCTGATCCTTAGCCCAGCCTTTTGGAGGAAGAGAAGCAACAGAGAAGAAGGAAGAAACGAACTCAGTAACACTGTGATGGGATCAGATCAACCTTGTCAGTTGGGAATGTCAGTTCAGACAAATAACATTCGTAAATCACAAGTGATTGCAAGTGGAGTCCTGTAGCTCAGTGGTTGGAGCATTCGCTTCGCGAGCAAGATGACCCGAGTTCAATTCCCAGGCAGGACGAAACATTGGGCAAGTTTTCTTACTCCACACGCCTCTGCTTACCTAGCAGTAACTAGGAACCTGGTTGTTAAGTCGATTGGCGGATCACTTTTCCTTCAAAAAAAATGTAGTCACTCAATCCACGACTGTTTGTAGGATGCTGCTTGTGTGCAATTGGCTGCCGCATTTTGCCCACAAAATGCATACAGCAAATTCACGTTACACTATATTCTGTGAAGCTCTTTGAGATATCTCGAAGACGTTATACGGTGCTGCAAGGATTATTATTATCATAATAATCTTGGATGAAGCCTTGTGGTCAGTGTGTCAGAGACATGTTACTGCGTAGATACAGGGTGAATACAATTCCCAACTGAGAGGGTTGAACTGATCCCTTCGCAGCTCAGCCTGTGAATTCCAGGGTCGCTCTCAGTCCACCAACAAATATCTCTCTTGACCACAGTTTAAAAATAGTCGTTCCCAGAATTTGGAATGTGTTCAACTCTGACAAAAAAATTGGGGTAGTTGCTTCCGTTTGAGATTGACACAGCACTAACCCACCACCCGCCCCCCCCACACACTTCCTCCCCAGACTCAGAGCTGACAAGCACAGTGTTTAGCAAGAGCACCAAAAAGCAATGAAAATCAAATGAGTGATTATATTAATAAATAATAATAATCCTTGCATTCGATATTGCATTTTCACGTCTTCTAGACATCTCAATGTGCTTCACGGGATATACTGTTGTGAGACTGTTTTTATACCTAGGAATAACTTTATACCTTTTAACCAACTATTATATGAACAAAAAGCAAGTCCTGGAAACAAACGCATACTTGGCAATGCCGGCTGCATCCTTATCTGGGCATTCCACAGAAACAGGGAAGCAGTAACTTCTGCATCTTTGAAATGAATAAGACATTGTCTGACACAAACACCATCTGGAGATAAGCTTATGCCTCAAACGTCCCTGAATCCTCCCCTAACCTGAGCTCCCTTCCCTCATTATTTTTTACTCTGTGTTATAAATTACAGGTTGCATTCTTGTTAGATAGCTTTAGATTATATCTTGTATACTTTAGACAACGGTATTAATCAGGTACATACTCTATGCCAATTATATACTCTTAAAAGAATAATAATCAGCATGAATAGAGACTAATTAAGTAGACGACATTCAACCTTGTTAAGAGATATGGATTGATTGAGGTCACCATTCGAATAGTTGTTGGAGCCACATGATAGATAATACTTTTTTTTAATTGCCTTTTTATGTTTTACGACCTTGAGCACTTTGGGGATAAAAAGGCTGCTTTAACTGACTATCAGCAACTCATTCTTTTGACTGTCAAGTGCTCTACTTGGGAAACTGTTGACTGTTCTTGAATCAGCTCTTTTAATTGCAATTAAATCTTTCTCTGGATATATCCACGGTGTATGGTCTGTTTGTAAGATGACGGTTGGGACGAACGGGGAAAAAAAATTACAACTCAACACTGTAAAGTGAATTGACTGTATATTTGTGGTGAAACGTGGCAACCAATTGCACACAGCAGCGTCCCACAAACAGTCCTGGCTTGAAGTGATCAATTTTATTATTGTTTTTTTTTGAGGGATTATTATCAGGCGTGTGGAGTAAGGAAACCGGCTCAAGGTTTCACCCTGCTTAATTAACGATAAACCTCATATTTGATACATCGTCTTTCACATAAGGAGGATGTCTTAAAGTGCTTCACGGGATATACTGTGTATTTTGTAAGTAAATACGGAAACCAGTTTGCATGCAGCCAAGTCCAGCAAACAGCAATGAAGTGAATGTTCTATTTTATTTGTGGTTTACGGCAGCGGGAGAAACTTCCTTCGCTTTTTGAATAGAGCCACAGGATCGAATGATCAACAAAGCAAATGATGAGATGATAAGCAAATGACCAACAAGTGACTGCCCTTCTGGAGGTGGGAGAAGAAGGGAGTTAAGTGGGGTCTCCTTGGATCTGAACTGGCCCCAAGGTGACAAGTTTGGTACCAGAGTATCAGAATCGAGCCAGTCCGCTGTGGCGGTCTCAGTAGACGAATTTCCTGTGAACCCAGGGGGAGTGATATCTTTTGGTGCAGTGGGCATTCGCTCAATGACCTTAGGCAACAACTGGGGAGAAAGGAAGGTGTGTGTAAGCGGGCGGCAGACTCCCTACCTGCAGCGAGTGCAGTGTTGTCAGGTTGGTCTCAGAGCACAGGATCACGTTGTTGGTCATGCTGAAACTCTCTCGGACTCCGAGGTGGTAGAAGAGAGAAGGCTGGCAGTAAGGATCACTCATCTCCACCACCGCCACATCTGGAAATGAAGACACACACCATTATCACACATCTCCCACTCACATGGAAGCTGGAACTTTAGTTATATAAAGACTTAAGCAAGGGAATGTGTTAAATTGGTAGACATTGGTTAGGCCACAGTTGCGATACTGCATGTAGCTCTTAAAGACTGTATCAACACCCTGGAGAGGGTACAGAGAAGATTAAGAGGGAATCCAATAGAAGTTTTTAAAACTCAACAGGTCTTGCGAGGATAAATAGTGATCAATTAATTCCTCTCGCTTTTTGGTGAAGCTGTAACAAGGTGCATAAGGTTAGGATTAGCACCAGGGGCGTAAACTGGAACACTTACGGGGAAGTTAGAAAAAAAAGCTTTTGTGTATTCATTGGAATATTGGAACTTGGAATACTTTGCAACAAGTGCTTATTGAAGCCGCGATCATAAGAGCAACTCGTGAACAGAGAACTGGATGAACATTTGAAATGGAAAATGGGATTGGGAAAGAGCAGGGGGAGCAAATTGCAGTCGATAATTCTGGCGAGGCATTAGCAAAGGGTAGATGGGTCAAATAGCTTCCTCCCATGCTGTAGTTTCCATGATTACACATTATGCAATAAAGAAAATACACCCCCACTAAAGCACAGTCAAAGTTACATCCGGGATGGAACAGGCACCCCGCAGTTGAATGAATCCAGTCCTTGGCTGTACAAATATAAGCACTGGTGTGAGACATTCCTTCTGTCCTGTCTCAAAGGTGAGGGGGAAGTGAGTGTATAACAGGCTGTCAGGACACTGTACAGTCAGCACTGGTTACGTTTCCTGCACACTAACTACCCTCACTGCATTGGCTGCGTCTGCAGTGACTCTTAAAATATGTAAACATTGAGCCATTTGAGTTCTAATGTGACAGAAACACATTTACTGATAAGTGCACAAAAAATAAATAATGTTCAACACAAGGAACAACTTACAGAGTCACCCCGTTGCATTTGAAACATTTCCGTTTCTAAGGCTGCATTTAGTTGAGTTGGCAGCCTGATCTCAGCCAGCACATACTTTTAATCAAACTGAAAACTCTTAAGGCATTTCTTCAGACTCTGAACTTTTGATATTCCTGCATTTTAACTCAGGTGAGATCAGAGTAGAAACTGGAATCTAATCGAGACGTTTTTATTTTAGTGCTCCCAGACCTACCCCACGTGATGGGGTTTACATAAATACAAATTGTTATGTTTAGAATAATCGATCAGGAATGAATTGCAGGCTGGAATCTAATGGCAGGATTTGAGAGTTTATATTAATAAGAAGCATCCTTCGATTTGATATAGCACCTTGCATGTAAGTAAGACTTTGCAAAGAGTTCAACAGAATTTACTGTAAACCGTGCCATGGAGTGAGTGACCAATTTCATCTGGGGGATTGATGGTCAGGACACTGGTAAAAAAATCTCTTCTTTTTTTGTATAGCGTCATGGGATCTTTAACTTCCAACTGAACAGGCAGACGGGACCTCAGTTTCAAAATGTCACCCCAAAGACTCTACCAAAAATGCAACATTACCCCAGCATTACACTGGGATGTCAGTCTAGACTATGAGTTCAGATTCCTATGTGAAGCTTGGACCCACAACTGTCTGACTCAGAGACAAGAATGCTAATGACTGAACTACGCTGACATCTATGCCTAGGATAATGGATTTTGAGAGCGACCTACAGGCTGGGATATAATTTAGGGATTTGGGTAATTTATATATAAAATAATGTATCCCTGCCAGCTACAGGGAATGTAATTGAGGGATGGGCAACGTAGAATTGGAAGCTGAAAGCAGAGACGAATGATTTACACATATAGCTCAGCAATGGACAATAAACATGGTGTCTGTCCGTGATGAGTGACAATTACGTGCTGAGCTGGTTTGCTTTGGCTTTGAACAGTTTGGGGGAAAGATGAGATTTATCTTGCAGCAAGCTGCGTCAATGCAAATGTGTTTATTGATATTGCAATTCCGCCAAACAAAAAAAAACTGGAAAAAACATGAAAGCAAAAAAAAAAAAGATATTTTTAATTGTACGAGTTTACTTTGAACCGGGTGCAGCTGAGCTAAGTTGGGTGAGTTGAAAGAGATTCAATTGATTTTGGTAATTCAAAAGATGGCATTCAGATGAGAATTGTGATAAATGTTCCAACCTTTCTTGCTTGGCCTGCAGGAGCCCACACTCCTGGACCACGAGCAAAATAAGAACTTGCATTTATATAACGCTCCTTGTGCAGGGAAACTGGCATCTAATGTATAATATATAGTACAAATAAAGACAAATGTTATCTTAGCAGCAATCAGCTACAAAAAATGACATTTGCAAAAATATGCATTTGTGTAATATGCTGAATACATCTGATGAGGAATGGGTCACAGAGTCAGACAGTGACATAGTATTGCTTAGACAAATTAGCCGCTGAAGTTCACACGAGATTGGTTGGGATAAAGAAGGCTCTTCAGCCCATAAGTATAGCAGCTTTCATGTAAGGAAGACACTTCAAAGTGTTTCTCAGAACTTGCTGTAAACTGTGCCATAGAGTGAATGACCAATTTTACTGTGTAGTATTTTAGGTGCGGTATATCCCAGACACTACATAATTTGAGTGTGACTTTTGGGATCTGAACTCAATTAATTTGGCATATTGTTTGTCTTGTTTATTGCTGCCTCACACTGTTCTGACAGAGTGAGCAACAAGTCAACTAACACCCCAAGATCTATTTCAGCTTCCCTCTTAGCAAGTTCCATCCCATCCATGGAGTATAGTACTTGTGTTTCCCATTCTTATTTTGGTCTAACGAGCTCCAAGGTGACATGTTTGGCAACAGAATGTTGGAATCTGTGGCGTTCTTAGTAGCCCAAGTCCCGAGCCAGGCGGGCCTGCCCGCTGTACTGCACGGCACTGCTGATGGCAGCACAGTCAGCCTGACTCAGCAGCAGGTCTTAGAAGGGCAGACTTGTTATTCTGGGCAGGAACTCAACATGTGGTTAAGTGAGTTGACTGCATATTTTGTGGGACGCTGCTGTACACAATTGGCAGTATATTCTGTGAAATATCTAGAAGACATGACAAGGCGCTATATCAAATGCAAGGATTATTATTATTATTAATAACTCTTCCCACTCAGTCCCATTAACCCTACAAGTCACAACCTAATTGGTAGGGTGGTCCCACCTGGACAAGCAGCAGGAAAGCTTGCCAGGCAGTGCTCTCAACGGCAAGCTATACAGTTTTTGGGTGGTTAGACTCCATCAGTCACCCCTCACTAAACTCTCGGGTCCCCGAGCCTTGGCTCTTGCCAACTTTCATCAAACATTCTCCAGGATTAGGTGAGCAGGATGTGTCGCTCCAGGCAGAGGGAGTGCGCATTCTGTTCCAAAACATATCGGGAATTTCCATGTGTAGGTGGAATAAATCAAATTCTCAGTATGGTTTGAATACTCTAAAGGACGGCGATGGCTTTCTGAATATGTCAAGATACTGGGCTGACAAAAACACAGGTGTAGTACTTCCATACAAATACATATAAATACAGTATTTACCTGTATTTACCTCATCTGGTTCTGAACTGCAATGTTTCAGGGTGAACCTGCAGACTGAGTGTCGTCCCCCACCCACTCTACACACACACACAGACAGACACACAGACTGTGCACGCACAGACACACAGACACACACTGACAGACACACACACTGACACACAGACACACACACAGACAGACACACAGACTGCACGCACAGACACACAGACACACACTGACAGACACACACACTGACACACAGACACACAGACAGACAGACACACACTGACAGACACACACATACACTGAGAGACACACACAGACAGACACACAGACAGACAGACACACACAGACACACAGACAGACGCACAGACTGTGCACGCACAGACACAGACGCACAGACATGGACGCACGGATGCAGACACGCACTCGCAGACAGGAAGACAGACAGAGAGACAGGCACTGGCAGACAGACAGACACGGACACACTGACAGACAGACAGACACGCACACACTGACAGACAGACAGACAGACACACACACTGACAGACAGACAGACACGGACACACTGACAGACACACACACAGACAGACCCCCCCCCCCGCTCACCTGCATTGTAGAAGCAGTCCAGAGTGCCGGTGTCCCCCAGTGTCAGTCTCCCGAAGGACACGGTGTGGAGGGCGGCGCGGCTCTCCCCACACGCCCGGCGGAGGCACCCGAGGGGCGGACTGTCCTGATCTCCGGCGGTCTCGTTCATCACATACACCGCTCTGACCGCCCGACTGCGGCTCCGGGGCACCGGGACGGCGGTGACGGCCATAGCCAGAGGGTCCTGCCAGTAACTGCCCGCGGCCACGGCCGGACTGCCGGCCCCGCGCCCCCCCCCCGACACCCCGGCCAGGCTCATCCCAACTCCGTCTGTCTGTCTGTCTGTGTGTCTGTCTGTGTGTCTGTCTGTGTGTGTGTGTGTGTCTGTGTGTGTGTCTCTGTGTGTCTGTGTGTGTGTGTCTGTGTGTGTGTGTCTGTGTGTGTGTGTCTGTGTGTGTGTGTCTGTGTGTGTGTGTCTCTCTGTCTGTCTGTGTGTGTTTCTCTGTCTGTGTGTCTGTCTGTGTGTGTCTGTCTGTGTGTCTGTCTCTCTCTGTCTGTGTGTGTTTCTCTGTCTGTCTGTCTGTGTGTGTCTGTCTGTGTGTGTGTCTCTCTCTGTCTGTGTGTGTTTCTCTGTCTGTCTGTGTGTCTGTGTGTCTGTCTGTGTGTGTTTCTCTGTCTGTGTGTCTGTCTGTCTGTGTGTGTGTCTGTCTGTGTGTGTCTGTGTCTGTCTGTGTGTCTCTGTGTGTGTGTCTCTGTGTGTGTGTCTGTGCGCCCTCAGCGCGCACTCACTCTCCTCCTCCTCCTGTGCTCCGGCACCTTCCAAACAGCGACAACTCCACCTGACCTCCTCCTCCCCCTCCCGCTGCCTCCCTCTCCTCCCCCCCCCGCTCCCTCCCCTCCCACACCC